GCCCCTTATAAAACCATCAAATCTCGTGAGAACTCACTGTCATAAGAACAACATGGAGGTAGCTGCCCCCATGATTCAATTACCTCCCACTGGGTCCCTCCCATGACACATGGGGATTGTGGGACCTAAAATTCAAGATGAGATTTGGGTGGGGACGCAGCCAAATCATATCATTTTGCCCCTGGGCCTTCCCAAATCTCATGTCCTCACATTTCAAAACATGATCATGCCTTTCCAACAGTCCCCCAAAGTCTTAGCTCATTCCAGCATTAACCCAAAAGTCCAAATCCAAAGTCTGAAACAAAGCAAATCCCTTCTGCCTGTGAGCCTGTAAAATCAAAAGCAAGTTACTTACTTCCTGGATATGATGGGGATACAGGCAGTGGGTAAATACACCTATTCCAAATGGGAAAAATTGGCCAAAACAAAGAGGGTACAGGCCCTGTGCAAGTCTGAAATCCATCGGGGCAGTCAAATCTTAAAGCTCTGAAATGATCTCCTTTGACTTCATGTCTCACATCCAGGGCACACTGATGCAAGAGGTGGGCTCGCATGGCCTTGGGCAGCTCTGCTTCTATGGCTTTGCAGGGTACAGCACTCCTCCTGGCTGCTTTCACAGGCTGGCATTGAGTGTCTGCAGCTTTTCCAGGTGCATGGTGCAAGCCTTCAGTGGATCTAACATTCTGGGGTCTGGAGGACAGGGGATCTCTTCTCACAGCTCCACTAGGCAGTTCCTCGTTGGAGACTCTGTGTGGGGAGTCCAACCCCACATTTCCCTTCCACACTGCTCTAGCAGAGATTCTCCATGAGGGCTCTGACCCTGCAGCAAACTTTTGCTTCAACACCCAGGCATTTCATACATCCTCTGAAATCTAGGCAGAGGTTCCCAAACCTCACTTCTTAACTTCTGTGTGTCCACAGGCTCAACACCACGTGGAAGCTGCCAAGACTTGGGGTTTGCACTCTCTGAACCCACAGCCCGAGCTGACGTTGGCCCCTTTCAGCCATGGCTGGAGCAGCTAGGACGCAGGGCAACAAGTCCCTAGGCTGCACACGGCAGGGGAGCCCTGGGCCCCACCCACAAAATCATTTTTTCCTACTAGGCCCCAAGGCCTGTGATGGGAGGGGCTGCTGTGAAGGTCTCTGACATGCCCTGGAGACAGAAAACTGACTAAAGAAGAAGTAGAAAATGTGAATAGATGTATAATAAAGAGATTGAGTTAGTAATTAAAAAAAGACACACAAGGAAAAGCCCTATGCTAATTAAGATGATAGGAGAGAATGGGTGCAAGGGCTTTACTGGTGAATTCTACCAAACATTTAAAGAATAATTAATACCAGTTCTTTACAAACTCTCCCCTGCCCCAAAACAAGAGGAAGGAACATCTTCCTCTCATTTCATGAGGCCAATATTACTTTGATATCCAAATCAGTCAAATACATCACAAGAAACATAAACTACAGACCATTATCTCTTATTCTCGACAAAATACTAGTAAACTAAATTTGGTAACATATAAAAAAGGATTTTCTACCACAATCAAGTGGAATTTATCCCAGGGATCCATCTGAGCATCAGTTTAAAAATCAACCAAATCCATATCAACAGAATAAAGGACAAAATATGCAGAAAAAGCATTTGACAAAATCCAACACCTCTTCATAAAAAACAAACTTTGAAGAGAACCAGCATGAGAAGAAAATGGGATATCTGGAAATGGAGAATGTCATAGATCAACAAGTCAGTTATGAATAAAAGAAAGTAAGAAATAGGGTAATAGTGGAGTTTAGGGATGGTTTATTTGCTTGGTTGGTGGCTTGATTATTTTTAAGATAGGAAAGATGTGTAATGTGTAAATGTGTAAAAGATAGCAGGAAGAATCCAGGAGAGAGAGTAGATAACACAGGAAGAGAATGAACTGTTAGGTTAGTGGGAAACTGAGGATGTTCCAATTCATTGGGAAGAAGGAGGTTATATCATCATTTAAGAATGAGGGGTGAGGAGAATAATGCTTGAGAAGATAGCTTGAAATAAACTTTGTGCAAAGGTGAGCTTATTAGAAAAACTTAAGATTGGTAAGCAATACTGAGTGACCTGTAGTGTTCATGCATTCTTAATCATTCTTATGATGCTAACTTTATAGATGAATGGAATAGCCTATAGCTATCTCCATCATAACACTATATGTGGGATCAAAGATGAATAATGTTGGTGAATGAGCTGGCATGAAAACCAGTGTGGATAAGAAGGACAATTCAGTAAGTGATTAATGGATAATTATTCATCTAGAAATAGTTATTATAGATCTCTGCCTCATAACTGTACACAAAGCAAATAGCAAGTATATTAAATATATGGAAGAAAAGTAAACCTTTTGTAAAATTTGTAGAAGAAAATATGTGAAAGTATATTTATGACTTCAGAGTAGGGAAATAAATCTTTAAAAAAGATAATAAAGCTCAATATATGTAAAAAGGAAAGTTCAGTCAGACTACATTAAAATAAAAAACTTATTATTCTTCAAAAGATACTATCTTTTAGGGGAAAATTAAAGTCACAGAACTCAGCTTCCAGTATTGGTAGAGTGAGTAATGTGGATCACCTTTCCCTTAAGGACAACCAGTAAATCCATAAAAAATATGAAAATCAGCTGAAAGGCATTAGAACTGTCAAGGTAGTACAGAATACTAGAACAAGATCCAAGAAATGATCTAAGTCCAGTGAGGTGAACCAAAGCATCTAGTGGGCTTTCACTTTCAGATTATTTGCTTATCTGGAAGAGGCAGCTGAGGGTACTGAATGGCATTTTTGATACCTCACAGGACTAGAGAGAAGAAAGTTGGAATCTGAGACTGAGGGTTGGGACCTTGGTACTTGGAATTATACCGAAAGGCAACTACATTCTAGGAATAAAGGTGAACTTGTAGTAAACCAGCCCTTCCACAGACTGTAGCCCAACTGCAAGTCATCTGGTTGACCCAGAAAAATCTCAGTCCCTAAAACTGGTTTGTGATGACCTACAATTACTGGAGCTCCCAGATATCTGGCAGAGGCAAACAATGATTCTCTCTAGGAGTACCTTCGGCCGGGCACAGTGGCTCACCCCTGTAATCCCAGCACTTTGGGAGGCCGAGGCGGACAGATATCGAGACCATCCTGGCTAACATGGTGAAACCCCGTCTCTACAAAAAAAAAAAAAAAAAAAAAAAAAATAGCCAGGAATGGTGGCAGGTGCCTGTAGTCCCAGCTACTCAGGAGGCTGAAGCAGGAGAATGGTGGGAGGCAGACCTTGCAGTGAGCCGAGATCGCGCCACTGCACTCCAGCCTGAGCAACAGAGCGGGACTCCATCTCAAAAAATAAAATAAAGAAGAGGAGTAACTTCAAATTATTTCCACGTCAGTTTTTCATGGAAATTCCTGATAAAAGATAACCAGGCAAATGAGAGAACAACCACCAGCAGAAACAATTGATGGTAGAAGTAGAATCACTGGAGTTTCTTATGTTAGATAATTAGATTTGGCTAAAATACTGTTTGGGACATAAAAGACAAGATTGAGAAGAATTTGACAGAAAACCAGAAGCTATTTTTAGAATGACTTATTAGACTCTAATTCCTGATTTCATTAAGCTACAATTATAAAAACAGTGTGATACTGGCATAAGAATAGACATACAGACCAATGAAATAGAGCACTCAGAAGTAAACCCTCACACATATGGTCAATTGATTTTTAACAAGGGTACTAAGACCATTCAATGGTGGAAATGGTGGCCTTTTCATGAAATGATACTGGGAAAACTGGATACATACAATGGAATGAAGTTGGGTTCTTGCCTTACACCATATACAGAAATTAAAAATGGATTAAAGGTACTCTTATAGTAGCATTATTCAAAATAGCCAAAAGGTCAGAGGCACCCAAGTGTCCATTAACAGATGAATGGATAAATAAAATGTGGTATATACATGCAATGGGATATTATTCAGCCCTAAAAAGAAAGACAAATCTGACATATACTACAACATGGATAAACCTGGAGACATTATGTTAAGTAAAATAAGCCAGTCACAAAAAGGCAAATATTGTATGATCCCACTTATTTGAGGTACTTAAGAGTAATCAGATTTATAGAGACAGAAAGTAGAATGGTGGTTGCCAGGGGCTCGGGAGAGGCAGAAATGGGGAATCACTGTTTAATTGGTATGGAGTTTCAGTTTGGGACGATGAAAAAGTTCTGGAGATGGATGTTTGTGAAGCTTGTACAACATTGTGAATGCACTTAATGCCACTGAAGTTGATATGGTTTGGCTCTGTGTCTCCACCCAGATCTCATCTTGAATTGTACTCCCATAATTCCCATGTGTTGTGGGAGGGAACCGGTGAGAGATAATTAAATCATGGGGGTAGTTTCCCCCATACTGTTCTGGTGGAAGTGAATAAGTCTCATGAGATCTGATGGTTTGATAAGGGGAAACACATTTTGCTTGGCTGTTATTCTCCCTCTTGCTGTTGTCATGTGAGACATGCCTTTCACCTTCCACCATGTTTGTGAGACCTCCCCAGCTACATGGAACTGTAAGTCCAGTTAAATCTGTTTCTTTTGTAAATTGCCAAGTCTCGGGTATATCTTTATCAGCAGCGTGAAAATGGACGAATACAGAAGTGTACACTTAAAAATGGTTAAAATGGTGAATTTAATGGCATGTGTGTTTTACCATAAAAATCTTTCTAAAATGGGCAGGGCGTGGTGACTCACGCCTGTAATCCCAGCACTTTGGGAGGCTGAGGCAGGTGGATCATTTGAGGTCAGGAGTTCAAGACCAGCATGGCTACCATGGTGAAAGCCCATCTCTACTAAAAATATAAACAATCATTCAGGTGGTAGTGGCCTGCGCCTGTAATCCCAGTGAGACTGAGACTGGAGAATTGCTTGAGCCTGGGAGGCAGAGGTTGCAGTGAGCTGAGATCACGCCATTCCACTCCAGTCTAGGCAAGAGAGTGAGACCCTATCTCAAAAAATAAATAAAATAAAACAAAATAATGGATATAAACTTGAACCAAAAAGAAATTCTGAATTAAAAAATTCAATTACAGAAATTGAGAACTCAAGGGATATGTTTAAAAGTACATTATCACTGAAGAAAGAATTGGTGATCTGGAAAATAGGTGGTAAAATATGCAAATGAGAAACAAAAATGAAAAAGAGCAGATAAGAGATACAGAGGATATGGTGTGTAAGTCTAACAGGTACCGAAGCCCCACAGCAAAGAAGGGCAGACAAGGTATCTGTTCCCTTGTTCCCCTATTCCTGCCTTCTTTTTATTAAGATATTTTAAAATTCAATTTATCTATTATTGCAAAGATAGATAGTACAGAGACATCCCATATACCTTCACACTTATTTCTCTTTATTAACATCTTTCATTGATATATTTGTCAAAATTAGTTGACCAAAATTGATACTTCATTATCTAAAGTCCATGCATTATTCAGATGTTAATATGTTTTTTAAAAGAAAATAAATAAATGATAGAGAAATGTTTATTATTGATGAAGTCACTAATTTTCCTAGGTATATATCACTCTCCCCTCTCCACCCCACAGTGTTAGCAAATATTGGTATTCATCTGTTCATTAAAAATGGGGAAATTGAGTATTTACATTAAAAAGTGTGTTGCTAGATCCTTTTAGGGAATGAACAAATTGAGTATGTTCTGTATATAAACCTTATGGGCTTTTTACATAGAAGACAATTTTACAGTCTTTTTTTGGGGGGGGCCACTCATTATTTTATCTGCTTCATTAGAAACTGCTAATGTTTACTTTGTTCATTTCACTCATTGGGTTCTTTTTAACCAGTATAGGCTAGCTTCACTGTCCAGTATGGAACCACTAATCCCATGTGGCAATTTAAATGTAAATTAATTAAAATCCAATGAAATGAAAATTTTACTTCCTCAGTTCCTATCAGCCATATATCAAGTGAGCAAGTATATGTAAACCTACTCCCAGAGGTTGAGAGAGCTGAGCTGACAAATGCAGTTTCTCAGAAGGAAACATTTGGTAGGGACAAAGGGACTTAAGATGGTGGATCCCCATACCTGCCCTGCGGGAATTATTCTTTCTATAGCAAGCTTTTTTTTTTTTGGTAAAACATGTGCAGCTGGTCATGTCTGAGACCCTCTTGCAAAACTCTGACCAGTGGGAAAATTAGATCAGGATCTTTACGAGGGGGTTTCTATGCTACAGATATTGTTTCTTTATGAGGGGTTATCTATGTTATAGGCATTGTTTCTTGACCTTGCTGGGGGAATGCCTTGGTATGCAAGAGTCAAACACTGGTTATTATGATGTTTCACTTCAAGATGGCATTACTCTTGTCATGCAACAGGCTGCTTTCCTACACATAGCCATGTATGGCTAATGGCTTCCATATTGGATGGTAGATACAGAACATAACTTGAAGTCGTCTCTTCCAGTCATTGGCCGTCATAACATTCTTCAAAATCTGGCTCAACTGTACCACCTTTGTGGTCTGAATCATCTGACACAAACATCTTCAACTTCTCCTTTCTCTCTTGCAGTATTTCTGTCCTCACTCACCCTCCACTTTCCTCCTATTCAGGAACAAATCACTTCCTTCTTTTCTGAAACAAACAACTTCACCAGCCTATCTGGTCTCATTCCCTCCCCATCAGCGGTATCTCTTTTCTTCCATCTTCAATTTCTAGTGCCTACTAAACTTTACCTTTTCTTTTCTAGAAATTAGCTCTCCACCCTTGAAAAAAAGAATACTTTAAATTCGGTTGCTTAGTTCAACCAATATCCCTTTTCCTTTCTTGCAGTATCACAATTCTCAAAAGAGATTATTGTCTATTTTCAGTCTTACCAACTCTTCTGAACCACTGGAAAGGAGAGTCCACAGGTAACATCTCTCTCTCTTGCCCTCCTCTGTCATTCCCCCTAATTCCACCATCAGCTTAGTTATCACCCTCTTTTGGCTCCCTGCAGCATCTGCTAGTCACCTGTTCCCTCTCCTGAAACACTGCTGCTTTTATGATGTTTGAACCATCTGGGCGCTCCGTAAGTAGCTCCTCTTTTCGAACTCCTTTTCCTCCCCCATTCCAAAACGTTACTATTTCACAATCCCGTTTATTTTCCAAAAGACCTCCCTTGGAGGCGATGTTATGCCTTGCCCTATTTTCAATCATATTTTCACAGATTATTACATTTTGTTCAATTCATGTGTCAACTGTATTCTGTTTTTTTTTGTTTGTTTTGAGACGGAGTCTCGCTGTGTCACCCAGGCTGGGGTGCAGTGGCCGGATCTCGGCTCACTGCAAGCTCCGCCTCCCAGGTTTATGCCATTCTCCTGCCTCAGCCTCCTGAGTAGCTGGGACTACAGGCGCCCGCCACCTCGCCCGGCTAGTTTTTTGTATTTTTTAGTAGAGACGGGGTTTCACTGTGTTAGCCAGGATGGTCTCGATCTTCTGACCTCGTGATCCGCCCGTCTCGGCCTCCCAAAGTGCTGGGAGTCACCTGTATTCTTTCATCTCTTTTGCCCTTTAATCCACTCTATACAGTACAGACACCGCCCTGAACACCGTTCTAGTCATGTTATATGTGAATAGCCTGCACTGATGATTCAATGCATTGCTAACACGTGAGCCTGGTATTTGACACTCTCCACAACCTAACTCACTCTAACCAGCCCCTTGGCCTAGTTTCTGGCCAGCCAAGATGTTGGGCCAATTCCGAGCTTGCCCTGAACCCCGCCCCGCTGTGCCTCGGCTCCTGCCGCTTCCTACGCGGGAAACCCGTGGCGCTGCTCCTCCTGTGTCAGCATCCAGCACGCGGCCATGCGCAGCTCGAGGGCAGAGTCCACAACTAAATTCCTACGAGCTTCTCCTGCCCCGCACCCCACTCGGACCCCTCCGCAGCACCTGGCGTCCTCGGCATTCCTGGGCAGGACCCGTCCCCGCCCCAGCCCTCCCGCAGCTCCTAGGACTGTCGTCTTCGCAGTCAGCACGTCTGCGGTGAGCGTGGTCAGCTCCTCTTCCTCTCAGAATGTAGAGATCATGGGTTCTCGGTGTTTATTTTCTCGATGGTATTTTCTCTATGGTATACCAGCCTGCGACAGAACGAGGAAAAATATGTTTGGATATATACGTATATTTTTATATATTTAAAAAATATATCGAATATATAATTATATTTAATATGTATCTTATGCTCCCCACCCTTTCAGCAGCGCGTCGACCGTTTGGATTCTGCGATGCCCCCGCCAGGTCTGAGCCGGACCCGCGCCCCTACTCGCGAGACCCGATCCGCGCCCGCCACAGAGCTGCGGTCCTCCGGGCTCCTAGAGGGGCGTCCCTCTCCCCTACTTCCGGCGCGCGTGCGGCAGGACGTTGCTCTCCCTCCGGGGGGTGGGTGCCTCCCGCCTCCCGCCTCCGGTAGAGCGAAGGGTGAGTGGGGTGGTTTAGCAGGCCGGTCCTGGCTGCTTCCCAAAACCGCCCCTATCCCGCATCAGGTCTCCGCGCCGCCTATCTTCGACCCCTCGGCCACAGGCCGGGCCTCGGCTGTGTCTGGGGTCCTGCCCGCCGCTCCGTAGGTCAATCCCGCCATCCGTTTTCACTTGCCCGCTCAGCCACCCGCCTCTTCGGTCAGCTGACGCCTCAGGCGCTTACCCAGCGTGTCCTGTGTCGGGTTGCAGGCTCAGGAGTCCGACACGCGCCAGTGGGTTCCTTCCTGCCACTTCTCACGCAGCGCTTTTGAGACGGGCCTCGACCTGCCTCTTGACTCCCCGAGACTGGGCTAGATCTTTTCTCAGTCACTCTCGGAACACCTTCTGCCTTCCCCTTTGTAATTTTTGTCACAATTAAATTAGGTAATGCTTTCTGTTTAACGTCTGCCTCTCTCTACTGTTTTTACGTTCTGTAATGGCAAAGACGCTGTCTTGTTCGTAACTCTTTGGTCAGCACCTGGCACAAATACCTGCACAAATAGGCACTCAAATATCAAATGTGAAAAAAACAAAGGCCCTCTTCTGAAGGGCTCTTTGATTTGGTGGGGAGTCCAGATATGAAAAGGCATTTTAGCAGAGTAGGCGTCTAAGTAAGGACTCTGGAGTCAGATGGTTTCTAAACAGTCCAGACTACATCACTTATAAGCTACATGACCTGGAACAAATTACATAACTTCTCTCGTCTTCAATTGAACGGTTGAACTTACACCATAGAGTGCTCTGAAGATGAAATAAGACACTTAAAGCTGGTAGACAGGGCCTGACTCTGTAATGAAGCCTGAGCGTTTTCTATTACAATTAAGCAAACAGATACATTATAGTATCTGTTACATTATAATGCAGATTATTATAATAACAGTGATGCTGCTACAGTCAGAATTGTCCAAAAGTACCCTGGAGTTTCCATCTGGGTTGCTTGGGCTAGCATTGGGGACTGACTTTCTCCCAAAGGGAAGGGCTGTACCTAAGCTCACGTTGGCTAGAAGGTTTTTGTTTTTACTTTTAAAAAAACTGGTCAGAAGAATGTGATCAGATTTACAATCTGTAAAGATCACTGTGGTTACAATGTAGATAACAGACTGATGGGGACTGAGTGAATGTGGGGAGCCAGTTGATGAGTTCTTGTGCAGTGTGACAGGATAGTTGCTGGGATGAAGATGGTTGCAAGATGGGGAAGAGCAGATTCTTGAAGAGAAAGTAAAATCAACAGGATTTAAAGGAAGGAAGGAGGTGGGGGAAAGGGCCATGTTAGGAATGCTGCCACATTTCTGGCTATGCAGCCAAATGGATGTTCCTGCTTCTTGAGAGGGACCCCTGGCAGAGGAGTAGGTTTAGGGTGGGAAGAATCACGAGTTGGTTATGCATTTGCTGAGTTTGAGGTCCTTTTGAGAAATGCGAGAGTAGTTATGGTGGGAGTGAAGAACCGTGGGTAATAGGTCAGGAGTTCAGATAGGACGTCTAGACTGGATGGTAACCGAAGGTTAGAATGAGGTGGCCTAGGAGGAAAGTAGAGAGTGACAATAGAGGACTTAGGGCTCATTGATGGACTGATGTAGTGGAGGCTGGACCTGTGAAGGAGATGGGGAAGGAGCAGAGGTCAAGTCTTTATGACCAAAATCTCCCTTAGCCACATACCCATGGAGGACTAGTTGGTGAGGCATAATATTTACAGTAAAATTGAATAATATATATTGAATTTAAAAGGCAAGGTACATAACATAGACTAATGGTCACTAACTGAAGAACATACATTAATGTGATGTAGCTCTTGAGAAATGCTATGTACACATCCATGCACAGATCTGACAATGCATTGGTTGTCACAAAATTTCATTAAAAACTTTTATTTTCCTATTACCCTGCTCAGTGTAAGATGAAATTTTTGAAATGTCTATTGTCACATAATAAGAACTAAAAAAATGTGTGTAGTATTTTTTCTTTTTTTAAATAAGGATGGGGTCTCACTCTGTCACTTAGGCTGGAGTTCAGTAAAGCGATCATGCTCACTGTAGCCTTGACCTCCCAGTCTCAAGCAGTCTTCCCAACTCAGCCTCCTGAGTAGCTGGGACCACAGGTGAATGCCACTACACCTGGCTAATTTTTAAATGTTTTGGGGGGATGGGATCTTACCATGCTGCCCAGGCTGGTCTCAAACTTCTGGACTCAAGTGATTCTTCTGCCTTTGGCCTCCCAAAATGCTGGGATTACAGGCATGAGCCACTGCGCTTGGTCTCTAGTATTTTACACTAAAAAATTAAGAGGAGAAATATCCCCAGGTTTCTTGTGTTTAGATGTGTATGAAAAATCTATTAATATCTAGCAAAGCACAGCTTAGGAGATGCTGCTTTGTAGGCATCTCAGACCTAACTTTCTTAATGAATAGCTCAGCAAATAGCACCATCATCCTTTAGTCACAAGGGCCAGCCACAAACTTGAGTCCTTGACCCCTCTCTCTTTCAAACCCTTATACAGTGTGTCAAGTCCTGTCAAATCTCCCATCTTTTTGTCTTTTTCCTCCCATGGCTCAGTCTCTCACTGTCTGTCTCCTGAATGGTTGCAACAAACACCTTCCCATGTCTTCTCCACACCACACTCTGGGTGAGCACACAGACCTTCCAGCCATCACTGTGGCCATGCGGATCAAATGCAAACTCTGTAGTACAACCTCTCAGACCTCCTCTCTCACCATTCATTAACTATACCCCAGGGTCTGGCACAGCACCCTGACCCATGGAGATTCTGACTCAGGAAGTCTGCTTTGGGGTTCCTGATTCATGGTTGATTTTGAGCCATAGTCAGAAGTGACAACCATTAGTCTGGTCTCCCCAGACTACCTTCAGTTTCCTCAGTGGGCCACATTCTCTCATACCTGTTTTCTCTTTGCCTGAGTGACTTTCCTCTCCATCTCACTCAGCTCACTCAGACTCTGGGAGATGTCTCCTCCAGGCAGCTCTTTCTAGCTCTTCCCATCCCTCTCTCCTTGGTCTTGGTCAGTCATCTTTCCCTTTTGCTACCTTGCCTACTTCGCTCCGTCCTTGGATTTATCACTGTGTTTACCTATTGTTTTACCATAATAAACTAAGAGTCCTTTGGTACAGATCTTTTAATTCTGAGACTGCTCTTTAGTACACTATCTAGCACACAGTAAATGCTGAAGTATTTGTTGAAATAATACATTTTTCTTTGTACTGTTTCAGAACCTTGTGACTTAAAAGTCAAGAATAATTTTTCCTTATTTCTACATTCACCTTGCCCATTCTCCATGATCCCTTCCTAACATTTTTGCCATCATTTCTAATTTAGTATCAACCAAGATTGTCCTGGGCATCAACCCATTCTGTAATAAATAGAAGTAAAAAGAGCAAGTACTGTAGAGTTGAGCAACCTGGGTTCATGTCTTGACTTTGCTATTTACCAGTTTGTAGTCTTAGACAAAACTTGGCTTTTAAGAACCTTGGTTTCCTCATTTGTAAAACTGAGGTGATAATACCTCGTGGTGTTATTGTCAAGCTCCAGTAAAATAGTATTTGTAAAGTGCTTGGCCCATAGTAGGTGTTTATTAAGTGTGAGTTCCCTTCTTTTGGGATGCCCCATAGCATAATAGAAAGAGCTAAAAACTTTGGTTGCAGAGCCCACTTCTGCTGCTCACTGGCTGGCTATCTTTGGTCAACTTATGACTCAGTATCCTCGTTAGGAAAATGGGCATAATTTTGATTGTCCTTATAGAGTTGTTAGGAAAAGCATATAACATTTATGTTAAGTATTCAGCTAGTGCTTAATAAAATGGTCGTTATTTCTGAGATGTAACCATATACTGTAGTGTTTTTCTTGCTTTCTATAATCTACAAGCACTATTTTATTATCCCTAATGTTGTTCCTAATAGTATTAGTAAAGGCCAAATTGATTTTGGCCATACTAACATTTTTCTTTCACATCCTGAAAAAATCCTGAGTCGTCTCTAAATGTATCATTTATGTGGAAGTGCCCTGTTAATCAGTTTTCTTTACAGCACTATGCTCCCTGGCAACTGGGCTTCAAAAACCTGTGTTTATATTCCAAGTACCTATTTTCCCTGTGTAACGTGACCATTGTCTACCCTCAGGAGCATCCTGAGGAGTTGGAATTCAGAAGGAATCTCTCAGACGCAAATCTCCATCTCCTCCCTGCCTCACCTGGGCAGCCTTTTCAGACTATCTCTGCCCAGAATGTCAGGAGAGGCCACAGTCTTGGCCTACCATGCTCCAGAAGAACAGGAAGGACTTCTAATTGTCAAAGTTGAAGAAGAAAATTATGTTTTGGGCCAGGACTTTGGCCTTGAGGGAAACCCCTGGAGCCAAGAGGTATTCCAGCAGAAGTTCAGGCAGTTTAGTTACTCTGACTCCACTGGCCCTCGAGAGGCTCTGAGCCAGCTGCGAGAGCTTTGCTGTCAGTGGTTGAGGCCGGAGGTGCACTCCAAGGAGCAGATCCTGGAGCTGCTGGTGTTGGAGCAGTTCCTGGCCATCCTTCCTGAGGAGCTGCAAGCTTGGGTGCGAGAGCATCGGCCAGAGAATGGAGAGGAAGCTGTAATCATGCTGGAGGAGCTGGAAAAAGAACTGGAGGAGCCAAGGCAACAGGTAAGAAGTAGACATTTTTGTTTGTTTGTTTGATCTATTGTAAGTTAATGGGGAAGCCATAATTATGACTGGGGCATTGACTCGGCTCTCAGAGAATTATACAGTTTCTTTTGGGTTATTAATTATTCACTCATTGGGTTCAAGTCACTAGGGCTCTTAAGTCCTGTTTTTTTCTCTCTAATCATTTGAATGCGTTTTTGATTCTTCCTGTCCTGCACTGTTGATCTAGGAGTTTTCTGTTTGTGTATGCTCAGAATGATAGTGCTGGTACTTGATTACTCCTAGGACACAACTCATGACCAAGGAATGTTCTGGCAGGAAATGACATCCACAGGAGCAGTGAAGTCTCTGAATAGCCCGGTGCAGCCCTTAGAGAACCAGTGCAAGAATGAGACTCAGGAGTCCCAGGCTTTCCAGGAGAGAGGTGAGAAGCCCCAGTCCATTTGGGGTTGATGATGGAGGTGAGAGCTATCATCCGTGGCACGGTTCATTTTCTTAATGACAGCCACTTATGGCTATCACTAAGTGTTGTGGAAAGCCTTCTTTGCCTAGAAATATTCTTCCTTAGGCTCTGCCTAGAATCTGAAATTCCAGTATCATTTATAACTTTGGGTTAAGAATTAAAGTCTTTAGTAAAATTCTCTAATACCCAAAATTATTTTTTTTCTTTTTCTTTTTTTTTTTTTTTTTTAAGATGGGGTCTCACTCTATCACCCAGGCTGGAGTGCAATGGTGCAACCACAGCTCATGCAGCAGCCTTGAACCCCTGGGTTCAAGTGATCCTCCTGCCTCAGCCTCCAGTGTAGCTAGGACTACAGTTGTACACCACCATGCCTGACTAAATATCCATAATATTCAAAGCTCAGTATTCTGTTATTTAATTTTGGTTTCATTGGCAAGACAGTCCCTAAGATGGAGATGAATACTGTATCAGTAATAGAAACCACATAATTACTTGAACAGGGAAAGTTTAATATTAAGAATTGTTAACTACTAAGTGTTATAACAAAAAGTCAAACTCAAAAGAATACAGGAATAACAGATACAGAGTGTCTGTAGGGCTGAGGCAGAACATCCAAGGTAAGAACAAATCTGCAGGTGGGTGCCACAACTTCCCCCTTCCTGCCAGGTCTGAGATCCAGGCTGGAGAGGGCACAGCCACAGCCCACTGAATGGAGATGCTACTGCAGTGCTGAGCTAGCAGAACTCACTGAGGAGCCACACTCTGCAGTGGTAGAAGCTCCCCATGGGGAGCTGACCTGGTACAGAACTTGCTGGGAAGCTACCCATAGGGGTGGGGCCTTTGGAACTCACTGGGGTGTGCACTGCTGGGTGTCCCATGTGCTACAGAAACAAACACAAAGAACATGCCAGAACCAGGAAGAAAAGCCCTTTCTTCCAGTTCCTCTGCAACCCCCTCTATTGATAAAGCTCACATCATGCCAGCTGGCAAATATTCCAGCATCACAGACAGGGCAATGAAGGGTAGATTTGAAACTGAGGCAATAAATTGATAGCTGTCACAGATGCCAGGGATTAGAACTGAAAGGACTTTGATTATGTTATTGGCAAAATCATCCTTATGGGCAACAGATATATCAGGCATACCAGCTTGTTCTCATTAATCTTTTGTTATATCTGACTACCCTTCTGATTTCGTCTTCACCAAGCAATCTTATTAATCCCATGAAGCTTAGCTGTAATAAGAAAATGCATTTGTTCAGTCTGTTCCATGTGATGGTTACATTACTCATTAATTCTCATTCTGTTTTTATTACTGAGTTTCACAGGCTTAGTTAATAAGAGTCTACCCCAAGAGATAAATCTATTTTTTGTATGATGATATAATTAGGTATATGAGGACATAAGCCCAAGGGCCAGACACTGGACCTCAGCAGTTCACCAAAGGAATCCATACCATCCATCCATTGAATTCTTCTGGGAAACTCCCTCCCAACCTTCCCCAGGCATCTATCCTGATACTACCGTTAGCCAAGCAGGCCCTCTTAAGTATCTTCTGCACCAAGCAGGTGCTACATTAAAACGGGTTTTGAAAATTCATCTCAAGGAAATCAAGCTGTCTCTGTTTGCAGATGACATGATCCTATGTCTAGAAAACCCTATCATCTCAGCCCCAAAGCTTCTTAAACCAAGAAGCAATTGCAGCAAAGTCTCAGCATACAAAATTAATGTGCAAAAATCACAAGCATTCTTATATACAGATATTCCTATATCTCTATGTCTGTACTGCACACCTGTACAACAGTAGACAACCAGAGAGCCAAATCATGATTAACTCCCATTCACAATTGCTACAAAGAGAATAAAATACCTAGGAATACAACTAACAAGGGAAGTGAAGGGCCTCTTCAAGAAGAACTACAGACTGCTGCTCAAAGAAATCAGAGAAGACACAAATGGAGAAACATTCCATGCTCATGGATAGGAAGAATCAATATCATGAAAATGGCCATACTGCCCAAAGTTATTTATAGATTCAGTGCTATTCCCATTAAACTACCATTGACATTCTTCACAGAATTAGAAAAAAAAAAAACTTTAAAATTCATATGGAACAAAAAAAAAAAAAGAGCCCTTATAGCCAAGACAATCCTAAGCAAAAAGAACAAAACTGGAGGCATCATGCCACCTGCCTTCAATCTGTACTACAAGGCTACTATAACCCAAACAGCATGGTACTGGTACAAAAACAGACACATAGACCAATGGAACAGAATAGAGGTCTGAGAAATAAGACAGCACATCTACAACCATTTGATATTTGACAAACCTGAGAAAAACAAGCAATGGGGAAAGGATTACCTATTTGGTAAATGGTGCTGGGAAAACTGGCTAGCCATATGCAGAAAATTGAAACTGGATCCCTCCTTTACACCTTATAGAAAAATTAACATGGACTAAAGACTTAAACGTAAAACCCAAAACTATAAAATCCCTAGAAAAAAATCTAGGCTATACCATTCAGGACATAGACATGGGCAAAGATTTCACGATGAAAATGTCAAAAGCAATTACAACAGAAGCAAAAATTGACAAATGGGATGTAATTATACTTAAGACCTTCTGCACAGCAAAAGAAACTATTATCAAAGTGAAGAGACAACCTATGAATGGGAGAAAATTTTTGCAATCTGTCCATCTGACAAAGGTCTAATATCCAGGATCTATAAGAAACTTAAACAAATTTACAAGAAAAAAACCCATTAAAAAGTGGGCAAAGGACATGAACAGAGACCTCAAAAGAAGACATTTATACACCAAAAAATATAAAAAATAGCTCAACATCACTGATCATTAGAGAAATGCAAATCAAGACCACAATGAGAAACAATCTCACAGCAGTCAGAATGGCGATTATTAAAAAGTCAAGAAACAACAGATGCTGGCAATGCTGTGGAGAAGTAGGAAAACTTTTACAGTGTTGGTGGGAATATAAATTAGTTCAACCATTGTGGAAGACAATGTGGCAATTCCTCAAAGACCTAGAACCAGACATACCATTTGACCCAGCAATCCCATTACTGGGTATATACTCAAAGGAATATAAATTATCCTATTATAAAGATACATGCATACATATGTTCATTGCAGCACTACTCACAATAGCAAAGACATGGAATCAACTCAAATGCCCACCAGTGATAGACTGGATAAAGAAAATGTGGTATGTATACACCATTGAATACTGTGCAGCCATAAACAGGAATGAGATCATGTCCTTTGCAGGGACATAGATGGAGCCTGAAGCCATTATCCTCAGCAAACTGACACAGGATCAGAAAACCAAACACCACATGTTGTCACTTATAAGTGGGAGCTGAACAATGAGAACACATGGAAACAGGGAGGGGAACAACACACACTGGGGCCTGGGGGGTGGGAGAGAAAGCATCAGGATAAATATCTAATGCATGTGGGGCTTAATACCTAGGTGATGGGTTGATAGGTGCAGCAAACCACCATGGCACATGTTTACCTATGTAACAAACCTGCACATCCTGCACATGTATCCCGGAACTTAAATTTTTAAAAAAGAAAATTCATCTCATCAAGTCCCCTGCCTTAAATCAGGTAAATGTCTAAATCATTTAGGTAGATTATTTTTACCTTCTTTTTTTAAGATCTTAAGGAACAGAGACTGTGGTAAGTGCTTCTTGGGCTTTTTCATATTGGTATTTGTTATGGGATGAGTTGTGTCTCTCCAAAATTCATATGTTGAAGCTTTAACCCCCAACCAGAACGTTAGAGTATGACTGCATTTTTTTAGAGATAGGGCCTTTATAAAGGTTAAAATGGAGTCATCAGGGTTGGCCTTAATCCAAAATAATTGATGTCCTTAAAAGAAGAGGAGATTAGGACACAACACAGACCAAGGGATGATCTTGTGAGGACCTAGCAAGAAAGTGGCCATCTGTGGCCAGGTGTGGTGGCTTATGCCTGTAATCCCAGCACTTCAGGAGGTTGAGGCAGGCAGATTACTTGAGGTCAGGAGTTTGAGACCACTGTGAAACCCTGTCTTTATTAAAAACACAAAAATTAGCTGGTTATGGTGGTGCATGCCTATAGTCCCAGCTACTTGGGAGGCTGAGACAGGAGGATCACCTGAGCCTGGAAGGTGGAGGTTGCAGTGAGCTGAGATTGCACCACTGCACTCCAACCTGGGTGACAGAGTGAGACTGTCTCAACAACAACAAAAAAGAAGAAGGTGGTCATCATCTGCAAGCCAAGGAGAGAGAAGAAACCAAACCTGCTGACACATTGATCTTGGACTTCTAGCCTCTAGAATTGTGAAAAAAGAGATTTCTATTGTTTACCACCCATTCTGTGATATTTTGTTATGGAAGCCCTAGCAAACATAATATATTGAAGTTCTTATGTCCATATGAAATACCCCCAGCTTTAATTTATTCATAATCCACTTTCTTTAGTTTACAGAGTCCTCATAAAACACAATCTGCACTTGAATGCAGTGAGCACACTGCACTTTGACCTTTTTTATTTTTTTGAGACGGAGTCTCGCTCTGTCGTCCAGGCTAGGGTGCAGTGGCGCAATCTTGGCTCACTGCAACCTCCACCTCCTGGGTTCAGGCGATTCTCTGGCCTCAGCCTCCCTAGTAACTGGAACTGCAGGTGCCTGCCACCATGCATGGCTAATTTTTGTATTTTTAGTAGAGACGGGGTTTTGCCATATTGGTCAGACTGTTCTCGAACTCCTGACCTTGTTATCCACCCGCCTTGGCCTCCCAAAGTGCTGGAATTACAGGCATGAGCCACTGTGCGCAGCCCCCTGACCTTGTTTTAACTAAGCCTCTCACTCCCTCTGATCCCATCTGTGTTTTGTCTGTCTGGATATCTTGCCATTTTTCTCTGTACATGCTTCAGTTTCTCCACATTCATCTGAAGTTTTGGGATCAAGACAAAATAAAATACTCTAATGAGGATCTGATTGATTTAAAATATATTCACCCTCCAACAGTTATCTGTTACCTTTTTTAACTTTTTATTTGCTTATTACTTCATAGTGGTAGTATGTTGTTGATTCAGTCACCTTATCAGTAATAGTGATTCTATCTTTCCGATGTCCTTGGACTTAGCGAAATTTACTCATTCTCCATTTATGCATGGTCCCATGGCCATGAATGCCCTTGACTGGGTTCCTGTTAAGTCTACTTATGCTAGTCTCTTTTCAGTCTTGAAAGTCTTAGCCCTGCCTCTGAAGAATTAATGTGGATCCTTTTACAGCTTTCACCTAGGTCATGAGGGTTAAATTGCTGGAGGGTCCCACTGTGATATGATTGTAAGAGTCACCATGCCATTTTTACAACCTTGAGTTATAAGTTTCTTGTAAGTGCTTCACTAGCCTCATAGTATGCCTTGCCAGAAGTAGAGCCTGAGATGGAGATTTGGGTGCAGGTGATTTATTGAGGATGTGTTCTTCAGGAAAAATCTGTAACAGAGGGAGAAAAGCAGGATTAGGAAGGGAAAAGAGCAAGCAATGATGTGGTGTCAGTTACAATCTAGCTTTGGTCTAATTCTTGGAGCATTTCATGGGCCACTGAAGCATAATTGCACTGCAGAGTTGTCTCTTCTTGAGGCAGAGATGGGGAAATGAGGGTGGAAGTTACTTCCTGGGCCAAGTGGCTCTCATCAGCCAGGGTAATTCTCCACAGAAGGAGGCACCTCTGTATAGTTAGGAACTGTCTTAATCAGTTAGGACTGCTATAACAAAATACTATCAACTGAGTGGCTTGTAAACAACATGGATTTATTTCTCACAGTTCTGGAGGCTGAGAAGTTCAAGATGCTAGCAGATTTGGTATTTGGTGAGGTCCCACTTTCTCATGGATGGCACCTTTTCACTGTGTCCTCATGTGGTGGAAGGGGCAAATGAGCACCCTAGGGCCTATTTTATAAGGTCACTAAGCTCTCATGACCTAGTCACCTTCCAAATGGCCGCACTTCCTAATACCATCACCTTGGGGGTTAGGACTTCAACATATGAATTTTGGGGAGACACATTCACATCATTGGAGGAGCCAACATTCACAGTGGCTGAGGGAAGGAGACATCATATTGGTAAAGGGGAACTGGGTGGGCAGTGGAGCATCACTGACATAGCATTCAGGCTAAAAGCATACTCGTCAATATGCAACTGAAGGCCACATCCCTAGTTAAAAGGATTTTAAACTAAACAGGATGGAATTGCTCACTGAACTGCTGAGCTGGCAGAACTCACTGAGGAGCCACCCCAGAGAACAAGTAGGAAAAACAGGAGGTGTGTTAAACAGAAAAGCTAGCTGGGTGTAGTGGCTCGTGCCTGTAGTCCCAGCAATTTGGGAGGCTGAGGCCGGAGGATTGCTTGAGCCCAGGAGTTCAAGACCAGTCTGGGCAACATGGCAAGACCCTGTGTCTACAAAAAAAATTTAAAAATTTACTGGATGCAATGATGCGCACCTGTACTCTTAGTTACTGGGGAGACTGAGGTGGGAGGACCCCTTGAGTCCAGGATTTCAAGGCTGCAGTGACTGATAATTGTACCATTGAACTCCAGCCTGAGTGACAGAGCAAGACTCGGTTTCAAAAACAAACAAACAAACAACAAAAACAGAATAGCTCTTCTAACAGAGATACCTATGCCTTATTTCTCCTCCAAACAGCCTCCTGTAAATCTGTACCCCACCCTCCAGCCTCCAGACTTGGACCTGATTACGAATTAGTTTTCATTCTTGGGTGATATTAATTGGGTTATCTCTATGCAAGTATTTCTAAATAATTAAGTGACCTTTTCTTATTGTAATCTTTTTTTTGTTTTGTTTTCTTTTTAAGGCAGTCTTGTTCTGTCGTGCAGTGGTGTGATCTTGGTTCACTGCAACCTCCACGTCCCTGGTTCAAGTGATTTTCGTGCCTCAGCCTCCCAAGTAGCTGGGTTACAGGCGTGCACCACCATGCCTGGCTAATGTTTTATATTTTTAGTAGAGACGGGGTTTTGCCATGTTGGCCAGGTTGGTTTTGAACTCCCCTGGCCTTAAGTGATCTGCCTGCCTCAGCCTCCAAAAGTACTGGGATTACAGGTGTGAGCCACCGTGCCCAGCCTCTACTTGTAGTCTCTATTTATCTTTTCTAAGAATTACTCTAGTTAGTTATTTATTCCAATTTTTAAAATATAATAATAAATGTATAGTTGAACAAATAAAAATCTTGATGTCTTCCTGATGTATACATCTGAGGGCAAAGTTTTTCTCTGGTCTCATAATTTGACTTCATGTAGTTATAGAATTTGAAGATATATTTAAATACCATAAGTTACATTGCTTTTCTAATTTTCATTGCCCTTAATTTTGTCCCTAGACAATTATATTGCCACTTTATACCCTATAATTGATACTCTTAATAATTTGACCTAGTTATTACTTTCAGAAAATTTCTCATTAGGTTGTCTGGTGTCTGACTTTAACCTATTTGGTACTTTTAATTTTTATGCTTCTATTGTATGCAAGTATATTTTTGATAAATGTTTTCCTTTTAAATAAATGAAACCGTGAATAATTTAAATTTCTATCTAAAATCCAAGGACAGTATGAATTTTAGAGGTGATGTTGTCTGTGTTTAATTTCTGGTAAGGAATGGGGAAATGGGAAGCCAGACAGCCCTCTGCTTTGATAGGTATCAACTGTGGTGCTTTATTGTTGTGTTTGAAGGGTGAACACAATATCAGAAATAGGTATTCATTTTTATATAAAAGCATAATGCTTTTCCAAAGCTAAATTTAAATGATTTTTAAGTAATATTTTGTTTCAGTGCAACTATAGCCCTGCATCCTTCCAATAGGGAAGGCAGATAGCATAAAGATTGCAAGCTTTGATGTTGAAAATGTTTATTTGAATCCAAACTCTTAACAATTATTAATTCTATGGCCTCACTTAACTTCTCTGAGCCTCAGTTTCCTGATCTGTAAAATGCATATACATTTAGAGGACTTTTGAGAAGATGTATTTTTCAGAATAAAATAATTCAAGTTATATCAGCCATTTCTAGTTACTAGAAATCTCTAGATATAACTAGTAGATGGCTGATATAATATGCCCCATCTCTAGTAGCCTTCTATTATGAGTTACTGTAGTTATCTAGAAAGAATTCCAGTAACTCATAACAGGAGACTACTAGAGATGGGGCATGTTTTGTGAGAGCCAGAAGGTTTGGCTCTGGGCAGTCATGTTTTTATGTATAAATGCTCAAGGAAGGAGTTGTCTCCATCCCCTTCTTTGACACTTACACATTTAAAAAAGTAAAACTATAAGATTCTTTTGTATTCCATGGATGATTTAGGTGAAAAATTTTTTTAATGGTAAAAAAAATTCCCACCTGACCTGAGAATGAGTCAGGAACCTGTATTTCTTTTCTCTGGGTCTGTGTCTTACTCCATTTGCTTATAATTATTTGATTCATTTGGAACCTATCAGAATCTGAAATCACCTTAATGCTTTCTAGTTCCTGCTCACCTACCTCTGTTCAGTGCTAACTCCCAAAGCATTTCCTAATCATATCTTCCGCTCTCCTATGTTGCTAGAAGACCACAGATTTAAGACTCTTAGATATCTTTCTTTATCCTGATCATTCCTTTTAATTTTTTTTTTTCTGATTATCTCATTACCTAAAAACGTATCTTCTCTAACCCAAGACTGTCTCCCAGCTTCCTGGTTTATCACCCATATTCCTGTTTGTCCCCATTCCCTCTAACTAATGTATTTCCTTGTTCACCATCCCTCTTCTCCAATACTAATTCATTTATTTGTCTACCTTACTCTCTGAGGGTGTCATATTTTGCTACCCTAGGTCCCTTCTCTGAACTCTAGATTGGGAATCTAGTTTTGAGAACTATTTTCTAGCAGGTAAATACCTATTTCATTGGGTTTATTTTGTGTTCTTGCTATGACAGTTTCCTTTCTTCTGTCATGGGAAGTAAATGATACTTGCACTTTCTATTCACATTTTTAGACAGCAAGATGGTGGCTGGCAAAGTGTTGATGGCAAAGCAAGAAATTGTTGAATGTGTAGCCTCAGCTGCCATGATATCTCCAGGAAAACTTCCTGGAGAAACACCTTCCGAACAGATAGCTGAAGAAGCTTTGGGAGGTCTGGACAACTCTAAGAAGCAAAAGGGAAATGCTGCAGGGAACAAAATCAGTGAGCTTCCTTCCCAGGACAGACATATCAGTCTGGCAACCTTCAACAGAAGAATCCCCACAGAACACAGTGTCCTTGAATTTCATGAGAGAGAAGGAAGTTTCAGTGTGAATCCAAATGATATTACACAACAGAGAGTTCACACTGGGGAAAAGCTCTATGAGTGCTTTGACTGTGGGAAGGCCTTTTGCCAGAGCTCAAAGCTGATTAGACATCAGAGAATTCATACTGGAGAGAGACCTTATGCATGTAAAGAATGTGGCAAAGCCTTCAGTTTGAGCTCAGACCTTGTTAGACATCAGAGAATTCATAGTGGTGAAAAACCCTATGAATGTTGTGAATGTGGAAAAGCCTTCAGGGGCAGTTCAGAGCTCATCAGGCATCGGAGAATCCACACTGGAGAGAAGCCTTATGAATGTGGAGAATGTGGGAAAGCCTTCAGCCGGAGCTCAGCCCTTATTCAGCATAAGAAAATTCACACTGGAGATAAAGGCTATGAATGTATTGAGTGTGGTAAGGCTTTTGGTAGGAGCTCTATCCTTATTGAACATCAAAGAATTCACACTGGAGAGAAACCTTATGAGTGTAATGAATGTGGAAAATCCTTCAATCAGAGCTCAGCCCTCACCCAGCACCACAGAATTCACACTGGAGAGAAGCCTTATGAATGTAGTGAATGTAGAAAAACATTTAGGCATAGGTCAGGCCTTATGCAGCATCAGAGAACACACACCAGAGTTTAACTCTGTGGGTAAGAGTTGTACAATTATGAAATGCAAGGAGTTCACTGTAGGGGTGAGACTCCACAGAAAAGTTTCCTGAGAGCAGGACTTCTGTCCTTTCAGCCCAGTTTGGTACTATAAGAAGACATCCACACAAAGATGTTTGTTATGATTATTGAAGTGTAAATGGAAGAAAAGTTTTACCCAAGTCTTCTCCAAAAAGAATGGTAGATATTTCCTTGAAATGCCTAACCCATTTCTGGATGAGATTCATCAATATCCCCTTCACTCTCTGCCACCTCAGATATAATTCCCGTTGGGCAGCTTAACAGTAATGCCAGGATTGGGGCAGAGATCCTGAAAGAGCTTCTTATAAGATGGCAAATGTGCCTGGCAAGAGCATTTGTATTTTGGCAGGTGGTGGCATGTGCTGAGAGTTACTCAGCTATCTGAAATGTTGAATTGAGAGGTTGTGAAAATACTGAATTATGCGATTAAATAGTGTCTAAGGCAGTTAAATAGTACCCGAGGAATGGTGCCTCATTCTGTCCCCTTGCCAGTTCTCAATCTTGAACTTCCTGCTGAGGTTAATTCAGGTCTACTTGTTTACTGAGCACCTGCTATGTGCTAGGCATTGAGGTAGACATGGTCATTGCCCTCCCAGAGTTAAGGGCTAATAGGACATGCATATATACTAAACAGTAATTACAGTAAAGTGTGGTAAGTGCTTTGGTAGGAAAAATGTGGGTTTCCATCAAAGTACATGGCAGGGATGCCTACACCTGGTCATGAGAATCAGTCACTAAAGACTTCCTGGATATGATGGTATCTCAGTTAGATGTAAAGGTGGGTAGAAGGTAGCAAGGGCAGGGGAGAAGAGAAGAACAGGATCTGGAGACACTCCATCAAGACTCTTCTCTACTGCAGAAATTGTCATAGACCTAATTTTTAAAAAAAGGAATCTGAGGGAGTAATTCAACAAATATTTATTGCCCTCAAGTATAATAGCTCAGGGTCTGCAAGACTGGTAAGGAGGGGAGGGGGCAGGGAATGGGGAATAGTGGAGCCTGGGAAGGCAGATCACTGCGTTCCTTTATGCTCCCCACTTCCCGAGTCCCAGAGTCATGGGACACAAACACTCCAGTCCCCACTGTCTCTCTAGTGTCTGATATGCATTCTTTCCCTGTGTGTATATATACCTTTTCCCATAAGATGCACCAGAGTCTTTCACCACACTAATTCTGAGCATTTCAGGGTCTCATGGGTCATTCTGGGTCTAGGATAGGCTCCCTAACTCAGTGATTATTAAGTAGGAAGAGCGAAACCAACACATGGGGATTCTGAGCCAGGCTTTATGACAACTAATTCCTGCTGGAGAGAAGAGTCCTGATGAAGGGGTGTCTCCAGATCCTATCTTATCATGCCATTGTATGGGCTATAACCTCTGCCTGTAACTCTCTCTGTTAATTTTTATTTTGGCAGTTTTAATTAACCCACAGTTGCTGAGGGCAATTAATACCTAAGAGAAAGTTTGATTCCTCTTCTAAGATATCCTTCTAGATAATGTCATTTCTAAAGAAGAATTGGTGATCACTGCTTGTATTAGTCCATTTTCACAGTGCTATAAAGATACTACCTGAGACTGGGTAATTTATAAACAAAAGAGGTTTAATTGACTCACAGTTCTGTAGGGCTGGGGAGGCCTCAGGACAATTACATCATGGTGGAAGGCAAAGGGGAAGCAGGCACCTTCTTCACAAGGTGGCGAGAGAGAGTGCAGGGGAAATGCCAGGCACTTATCAAACAACCAGATCTCATAAGAATTCACTCACTATCATGAGAACAGCAAGGGGGAAATCTGCCCCCATGATCCAGTCACCTCCCTCCAGGACCTTCCCTCAACACCTGGGGATTACAGTTGGAGATTTGGGTGGGGACACAGAGCCAAACTATATCACTGCTGTTGTGCGTAATAGGGGAGGTGAAATTGGGGGGACAATTCAGCCTTTTTGTGTCTAGAGGTTGTGCAGTTATTGAATGAGGTGGATCAGAAGTCTAAAGGGATCCTTCAAATGGATAGTGAGTTGCCTTTTTCTATAGGTGACAATCAGAGATTTAATGTTTTAAATATCATTTAATAGGTTTTTCTCCTGATTGCAAATTAAGTGTTGGTAATACAGAAAATGAGAAAGTGTAAATCACCCCAATCCCATTGCCCATAGAAACGTTGTTAACATTTTGGAGTACTTTCTATTAGTGTTTATTTTTCCCAATCCTGGTATTTTTAGTAAAACTATTGTTTAGTAAATGATTTTTGGTAACTAATTTCAAAAATTATACTTTGAGTATATACTTCAGCCGTTTATTATTAGAATGTAATGCAAGATGTATTGTAATAAAAGTTGAGTTTTAAAAGTTTGCTTTGAAATTATTCAGGAATAGGGAACACAATAACATGAACGGAGATAATGCTAGGACAATGGGGAAGAGGTTGTCATGCGCGTCCGTGTGAAGAGACCACCAAACAGGCTTTGTGTGAGCAACATGGCTGTTTATTTCACCTGGGTGCAGGCGGGCTGAGTCCAAAAAGAGAGTCAGCAAAGGGAAATAAGGGTGGGGCCGTCTTACAGGATTTGGGTAGGTAAAGGAAAATTACAGTGAAAGGGGGGTTGTTCTCTGGCGGGCAGGAGTGGGGTCACAAGGTGCTCAGTGGGGGAGCTTTTTGAGCCAGGATGAGCCAGGAAAAGGAATTTCACAAGGTAATGTCATCGCTTAAGGCAAGGACCAGCCATTTTCACTTCTTTTGTGGTGGAATGTCATCAGCTAAGAGGAAGCAGGGCATTTGCACTTCTTTTGTGATTCTTCAGTTACTTCAGGCCATCTGGGCATATACGTGCAAGTCACAGGGGATGTGATGGCTTGGCTTGGGCTCAGACGTCTGACATTCCTGCCTTCTTATATTAACAAGAAAAATAAAACAAAATAGTGTTGAAGTGATGGGGTGGCAAAGATTTTTGGGGGGTGGTATGGAGAGAGAATGGGCGATGTTTCTCAGGGCTGCTTCAAGCGGGATTAGGGGCAGCGTGGGAACCTAGAGTGGGAGAGATTAAGCTGAAGGAAGATTTTGTGGTAAGGGGTGATATTGTGGGGTCGTTAGAAGAAACACTTGTATAGAATGATTGGTGATGGCCTGGATGCGGTTTTGTATGAATTAAAAAACTAAACGGAAGACACAAGGTAAAAGAAGGAGAGAAAACAGGTATTAAAGGACTAAGAATTAAGAGGACCTAGGACATCTAATTAGAGAGAGCCTAAGGGGGTTCAGCATAATTACTTGCTTGGTTGGTGAGTTTTTAGGCTCTAAGTTTTTGGGGTGCAGTTCAAGTTGTTCTGGTGTCTGGAATGAGACTGGGGCTTAATAAAAAGGAGTGTCCACACAGGAGCTCAAATGGGCTGTAACCTGTAGCATTCCGAGGACAGGCCTGAATTCTGAGAAAGGAAAGTGGCAAAAGTATTGTCTAGTCCTTTTTAAGTTGGTGACTGAGCTTGGTGAGGTGTGTTTTTAAAAGACCATAGTCCATTCTACCTTTCCTGAAGATTGAGGACGGTAAAAGATATAAAGGTTTCACTGAATACCAAGAGCCTGAGAAACTGCTTGGGTGATTTGACTATTAAAAGCTGGTCCGTTATCAGACTGTATAGAGGTAAGAAGGCCAAACTGAGGAGTTATGTCTGATATGACCATGGTGGCCTTCTCAGACCCTGTGGGAAAGGCCTCTACCCATCCAGTGAAAGTGTCTACCCAGCCTAAGAGATATTTTAGTTTTCTGACTCGGGACATGTGAGTAAAGTCAATTTACCAGTCCTGGGCAGGGGCAAATCCCCAAGCTTGATGTGTAGGAAAGGGAGGAGGCCTGAACAATCCCTGAGGGGTAGTAGAATAGCAGATGGAACACTGAGAAGTGATCTCCTTGAGGACAGATTTCTAGGATGGAAAGGAAATGAGAGGTTCTAAGAGGCAGGCTAGTGGCTTGTAACCGACATGGAAGAGGTTATGAAATGACGACAGAATAGAATGGGCCTGTGAGGCTGGAAGGAGAACCAAATGGTCTAAGAACCATTTGCCTTGTGTGTGAAGAGTTTGATAGGTGGAAGTTTCAGCAGGGCAGTAGGTGCGAGTGGCTGATGTGAAGGAGGAAAACTGCCATGAGGGATAGAAGTTGGAACGCTAGCTGCTTTTTTAGCTAACTTATCAGCATAAGCATTGTCCTGAGCGATGGTTGGGGGAAGAAAATAGATTTTGGAAGTTATGATCACTGTAGAGAGTTGAGCATAGTTTGTGATTTTTAGGGCCTCTAACAGTATTAAAGCAGTGGCAGCCGCTGCACACAGACATGAAGGCTAGGCTAAAACAGTAAGGTCGTTCGGACAGAAAGGCTACAGGATGCGGTTTCGGCTCTTGTGTAAGAATTCTGTCTGCACTAACCATGCCTAGGAAGGAAAGGAGTTGTTGTTTTGTAGAAGGGATTGGGGTTTGAGAGATTAGCCAGACACAATCAGCAGGGAGAGTAAGTGTGTATTTATGAGAATTATGCCGAGATAGGTAACAGATGAGTAAGAAATTTGGGCTTGACTGAAGTAATGGGGGCTGTCCGTGAGGCCTTGCAGCAGTACAGCCTAGGTAATTTGCTGAGCCTGATGGGAGTCAGGGTCAGTCCAAGTGAAAGCGAAGAGACGCTGGGATGAAGGGTGTAAAGGAATAGTAAAGAAAGTATGTTTGAGATCCACAACAGAATAATGGGTTGTGGAGGGAGGTATTGAGGATAGGAGAGTATATGGGTTTGGCACCATGGGGTGGATAGGCAAGACAATTTGGTTGATAAGGTGCAGAGATCTTGAATTAACCTGTAAGGCTTGTCTGGTTTTAGGACAGGTAAAATGGGGGAATTGTAAGAGGAGTTTACAGACTTTAAAAGGCCATGCTGTAGCAGGCGAGTGATAACAGGCTTTAATCCTTTTTTTTTTTTTTTTTTTTTTTTTTGAGATGGAGCCTTGCTCTGTCGCCGGGGCTGGAGTGCAGTGGCCAGATCTCAGCTCACTGCAAGCTCCGCCTCCTGGGTTTATGCCATTCTCCTGCCTCAGCCTACTGAGTAGCTGGGACTACAGGCGCCCGCCACCTCGCCCGGCTAGTTTTTTGTATTTTTTAGTAGAGATGGGGTTTTACCGTGTTAGCCAGGATGGTCTTGATCTCCTGACCTCGTGATCCGCCTGTCTCGGCCTCCCAAAGTGCTGGTATTACAGGCTAGAGCCACCGCACCAGGCCCAGGCTTTAATCCTTTTAAAGCGTGCTGTGGGATGGGATATTGGCATTGAGCAGGGTAAGGGTGATTGGGTTTTAATGGGATAGTAATGGGCATGTGTTCGGTTGCCAGGGAAGGAGTAGAGATGTCCTATATTTGTGGGTTAAGGTGGGGGGATACAAGAGGAAGACGCAAAGGAGGCTTTGAACTGGGGGAAAAGGCAGCAATGAGGTGTGGCTGTAGCCTAGGAATAGTCAGGGAAGCAGATAATTTAGAGGTTTAGAAGCCTGGCCGTCAATACCTACAACAGTTATGGAGGCAAGAGAAACAGGCCCTTGAAAAGAAGGTAATGTGGAGTGGGTAGCCTCCGTATTGATTAAGAAGGGGACAGACTTACCCTCCACTGTAAGAGTTGCCCAAAGCATCTGTGATGGTCCAGGAGGCTTCCGAGGCAATGGGGCAGCGTCAATCTTCAGCCGCTAAGCCGAGAAGGTCTGGAAAGGAGTCGGTCAGAAAGCGTTGGGCCAGAGCTCCAGGGGCTCTGGGAGTGGCCAGCGGGCAAGTTGAACAGTCCGATTTCCAGTGAAGTCCCGCACAGATGGGACACGGCTTAGGAGGAATCCCGGGCTGCCGGCATTCCTTGGCCTAGTAGCCAGATTTCCAGCACTTGTAGCAAGCTCCTGGGGGAGGAGGTTCGGGAGGAACCCCTGGCAGCTGCGGTTCAGGCGTTTGGAGTTGTGTGCTGGAGATGTGGCTGGGGTTTGTCTCACAGTAGAGGCAAGGAATTGCAACTCAGAAATAAGCTGCTACTTGGCTGCCTCTATTATTGTACACCTTGAAGGCGAGGTTCATTAAGTCTTGTTGTGGGGTTTGAGGGCTGGAATTTAATTTTTGGAGCTTTATTTAATGACAGGAGCAGACTGGGTAATAAAATAAAATGCATATTGAGAGTAAGTCGGCCTTCTGACCTTTCAGGGTCTAGGGCTGAGAAGCGTCTCAGGGTTGCTGCTAAACAGGCCATGAACTGGACTAAGTTTTTCATATTTGATGAAAAAGAGCCCAAATGCTAACTGATTTGGGAGAGGTTGAATAAAGAAAAAGGAACATTAACCTTTACTATGACTTTAGCTCTAGCCACTTTTTTTAAGAGGAAATTGCTGGGCAGGTTGGGAAGGGCTAGTCACGGAACAAAATTGTAAGCCAGACCGGGTGTGAGGAGGGGAGGTGATAAAAGGATTATAGGGTGGGGGAGCGGAGTCTGAGGAAAAATTGGGACCTAGCTCGGCCTGGCGAGGAGGGAAGAGGAAGAAGTAGAAAGGAAGATTAGAAAGACTCAGCGACGCTTGGGGTTGGGACTGAGGAGACAGGTGGGAGGGAAAGAAGGAAGATTTGGGAGGAGTTGCATTGGGAACAGAGACTAGGGAGGGACTGATGTGTAAAAGAATGCCTGGACGTCAGGCACCTCAGACCGTTTGCCCATTTTACGACAAGAATTATTTAGATCTTGTAGGATGGAAAAATCGAAAGTGCCGTTTCTGGCTATTTGGAACTACTGTTGAGTTTGTATTGGGGTCAAGCGACATTGTAGAAGAAAATAAGGCATTTGGGTTTTAGATCAGGTGTGAGTTGAAGAGGCTTTAAATTCTTGAGAATACAGGCTACTGAGAAGAAGGAAGAATGGAGGGTGGAAGGTTGCCCATGGTGAAGGAGGCAAGCCCAGAGAAAAGAGGGAGACACAGAGAGAAGCAGTTTGGGGGTTCTTGCCCTCCAGAAAAGCAGGAAAGGGGTCGGGGAGTAGAAATAAGGTATTGGGGTGCAAAAATAAGAGATCAGGGCACAAAAATAAGAAGTCAGGGTGCAAAAATAAGAGGGGGGTGCAAAAATAAGAGGTTGGGGTTCTTGCCCCTCCCCCAGAAAAGCAGAGAAGGGGTAGAGACCGGGAGAGAAGGGGTCGGGGTGCTTGCCCCTCCCCCAGAAAAGCAGAGAAGGGGTAGAAACAGGGAGAGAAGGGGTCAGGGTGCTTGCACCTCCCCCAGAAAAGCGAGACTTGCCGCTTAGGGTGAAGGACCAAGGCAGGCATCCCTGCAGCATGGTCAGACACCTCTAAAACGTGCGTGAGTAATCAGAGAGGCGTCCCTGCAATAATTAAACACCAAGGGAAGGCTGCCTTCCCCAGTCCGTGACCGGTGCCGGCATTTTGGGTCCACGGATAAAATGTGTCTCCTTTGTCTCTACCAGAAAATGAAAGGAATTGAAATGAAGAGAAGGGAGAGATTGAAGGGTGGTGCCAAGATTGAAAGGAGAAAGAGGCTGAGAGATAGGGAGAGAGGTTGGAGAAGAGAGTAAAAAGGGAGCCACTTACCTGATTTAAAATTGGTGAGATGTTCCTTGGGCTGTTGGGTCTGAGGACCTGAGGTCGCAGGTAGCTCTTTCTCATGAAGCAAAGAGCAGGAGGATGGGATTGATCTCCCAAGGGAGGTCCCCGATGCGAGTCACAGCACCAAAATGTTATACGTGTCCGTGCGAAGAGACCACCAAACAGACTTTATGTGAGCAACATGGCTGTTTTATTTCACCTGGGTGCAGGCGGGCTGAGTCCGAAAAGAGTCAGTGAAGGGAGATAAGGGTAGGGCCATTTTATAGGATTTGGGTAGGTAAAGGAAAATTATGGTCAAAGGGGGGTTGTTCTCTGGCAGGCAGGAGTGGGGGTCACAAGGTGCTCAGTGGGGGAGCTTTTTGAGCCAGGATGAGCCAGGAAAAGGAATTTCACAAGATAATGTCATCGCTTAAGGCAAGGACCAGCCATTTTCACTTCTTTTGTGGTGGACTGTCATCAGTTAAGGCAAGGCAGGGCATTTGCACTTCTTTTGTGATTCTTCAGTTACTTCAGGCCATCTGGGCATATACATGCAAGTCACAGGGGATGCGATAGCTTGGCTTGGGCTCAGAGGCCTGACATTGGTGTTCTCAGTTTCTATTTCCTGGGCCAAAAAATATCAGGCCATTAAAATAGCCAGTCTCTGGGGCTGCGGTTAACCAAAGTGAGGGGGCATCTGAGATTTAGTTGTTGAAAGACAATGAGAATGAGGGCAAGAAGGAGCCTCTTTAAACACAAACACATCTGGTGTCCACCAGAATTAGGACTCTCTCTTCCCTTTAGTGGAGGTGGCCACATGCACCAGACTGGAATCTTCAACACTAACTGCTGAGAAGGACCAAGCTTAGACCTGTGGACCTGCCATGACCTCCTTCTCCCTCAGCAGGTCCTCAATGAACTTGGAGAGATGAGGGTCAGATTTGCTTTAAATTTCCAATCCTTTCAGCTGGATGTATTAGTTGCAGGCTATGGAAATGAGGAAGAAGGGGAAAGGCAGGAAACCAAAGTTAAGTACACTGCCTAAATTGCACGTTATCTTTTAAAATCTGTGTAAGACTCATTTAAGGTAGACATCATTACTCTCTGGACTGCTTCTATACCAAGAGAAAAAGGACAGCCCTGAGCAGAAGGGAAAGGCATGAATTACTTTTCTTCCAAGCAAAAGTGGTGAAGAAGAAAAAATTTCCTTTGACATCCACCTTATATTGGTGCCCCTTCCATTTCATAAAAAGTAGAATGTTGAAGCTTTGCCCATAAGAGATCATCTACATCAGCTCCTTTAAAGTGAGGGTCTAGAGTTGGAAGGTGACTTGCTTATGGCTACAGAATACATGGAAAAGCTCTAATAATCAAAGATCTCCATTTCAAAGCTATTGATTTTCTCAACTGTAAATCTTTCAGGCAAGTAATTCCGTTTGCACCCGGATTTATAATTTGTAGACTTTTTAATATACTACCTGTGAAATGGATATGTTTACCATTATCATTTTACCAGTGATGAAGGGATCACAGTTAACAAATTAGCTAATTTCCTGAGACTTGGAAGAGACAGAGATGCTATGAAAAGCAAGTGCCTTTAAAATATTTTCTCAAGTATCCTGGGCTTCCATTCACTCTTCCCCCCTAATTTTAAGAGTATTAGAGGTTTACTATAGAAAAATTTGAAAAACACAGAAAAGCACAAGAAAAAAATTACATCACCTACAACCTCAGCACCCAGACATAACCAGTATAGCACTTTGAATTTATGTTTTTAGTGGTTTTAATACATAAATATATATTTTACATGGGATCATACTGTACATATTGTTTTGTAATATTTTTACTTAACAATATATCACAAATACTTCATTTAATATTAATTGACATAAGTTTTTTTTTTTTTTTTTTTTTTTTTGAGACACAGTCTCGCTCTGTCACCTAGGCTGGAATACAGTGGTATAATCTCGGCTCACTGCAACCTCCACCTCCCGGGTTCAAGCAATTCTCCTGTCTCAGCCTCCCGAGTAGCTGGGACTACAGGTGCATGCCACCATACCTGGCTAATTTTTCTGTATTTTTAGTAGAGACGGGATCACCATGTTGGTCAGGCTGGTCTTGAACTCCTGATCTCAGGTGATCTACCTGCCTCAGCCTCCCAAAGTGCTGGGATTACAGGCATGAGCCACTGCGCCCGGCCTGTGACATCAGTTTTAAGTTTTAGGATTTTGTGTACATTCATGATGGTTTCTGAAACATACATTTCCAGGTACAATTTCAAAGTCAAAAGGCAATGCTTAAGGCTTCTGGTATTGGTTGCCAGAGACAGTATGTATTTATTCATGTCTTACCAGCAGCATTAGAGTCCCAATGTCCCTGAATCCCTGTCTGTTTTATAAGGAAGTGTCATCTCAACTCTTGCTTTAATATACATTTTAACTGTAGTGAGATTGAACATTTATTGTTCACTGGCACTTATTTTGTGATTTCCCTACTTAAGTAGCATTTTTTTTTTCTATTGGAACTTTCTTATGGGGAGAGAATATGCTGAAGTGGCTCCACAGTCAGGTTGTGGGTTCAAAGTCTGACCTCCCCATTTTTTGGATATATGACCTTTAGCCTTCATCTCCTCATCTGCTACATACACGCTGTGATGAGAAATAACATTATAACATTAATAATTATATACAAAGCCCTTAGCAAGTCTCTATGACATTTATTTTTTTTCCTTTTTTTTTTGGTTTGGAGACAGGGTCTTGCTCTCCCAGGCTGGAGTGCAGTGGTGTGATCTTGCCTCCCTGAAACCTCAACCTCCAGGGCTTGAGCAAACCTCTTACCTCAGCCTCCCAAATAGTTGGGTCTACAGGCATACACTACGTCTGGCAAATGCTGTTTATATTTTGTAGAGATGGTGTCTCACTATGCTGCCCAGGCTGGGCTTGAACTCCTAGACTCAAACAATCCTCCAGCCTTGACCTCCCAAAGTGCTGGGATTATAGGTGTGAGTCACTGTGCTTGGCCTATCTATTACACTGCTTACTAACATACAGTAGAGCTTTCTTACATAAAGAGTATTTCCGTTTTACAATATACAATTCCTACTTAATGTCCTACCTTTTCAGTTTGTTCAGGTCTTTATCTGTGGAAGAGGAGGAAAATAAGAGTTGAGTAGCTCTTACCATGTATTTTAATATCTTACATCTTTTCCAAATAATCCCATCCATTTTTTCACATTCTCTCCCCAAACATGGGCATTTAGGCCTCCTGCCATTCTTACTGGTTAGCACATGTTCACTGATGTATGCCCAATAAGAGCATTACTTCTCTTTGCTTCTTTTTATCCTCATGAAAATTCTTTTTTTATGCACAGGATTCTAGATTTCCACACAGATTTGTTTTTGGTGTGGTGTGTTATTCTTCCTACCTATTAGGTCTTTTGAATATGTCTTTGTGTTGCTGGTTAACCTGCACAACATTCCATCTTACACTAAGCATCAGTCTAAATATTCTCTTCCTGCTAGGCCCCTTAGAAAAGGGAAGTCTCCACTGATTGTGACCATTAGTTTCAGTTGTCATTTTCTTTTAGCAGTCTTTAATAAAATTTGCAAAAGATGGCTGGGCATGGTGGCTCATGCCTGTAATCCCAGCACTTTGGGAGGCCGGGGTGGGTGGATCACCTGAGGTTGGGAGTTGGAAACCAGCCTGACCAACATGGACAAACCCTGCCTTTCCTAAAAATACAAAATTAGCTGGCCCTGGTGATGCATGCCTGTTATCCCAGCTACTCAGGAGGCTGAGGCAGGAGAATCGCTTGACCCCAGGAGGTGGAGTTTGCGGTGAACCAAGATCACGCCATTACACTCCAGCATGGGCACCAAGAGCGAAACTCCATTTCAAAAAAAAAAATATTGCAAAAGATATTGTGAAATACTGGTGACATAAAACAAAACTGAACATGTGCGAGGTGCCCAAAGAACGTCACAGACCCAGCAACTGACATACTTTTTGAGCACCAAAGCCCAAGGGAATGTACTAGGAATCGTGGGAATACAGCCCCAGAAACAAATGATATGGCAGCTTCTGATCTAGAGTCTTGGAAATTATAGGAAACCTGACAGCAACTCTGATATTGTCTTTAGAATCAAAGGAGAATCTTAAGGATGGGAGAGACAGTCTTAACACTCAGACTCTTGAGGTATAGGTATAGGCTCTTTCTCACCCTCATTCCCACCACTACCCTCATGGAAGTTCTAGGATAGCCTACAGGTGTGGCAAGGAAACCACATATTTGCCCTTTCCCTGGGGTCACATAAACCAAGACAAAGCTCTTGACTCCCCTGTGGTCCAAGGGCTCCAGGTTTTGTCTATTAACAGGAACTTCTCCATTGGCACTGCTTAAGAGTCTGGCCAGACCCAGACATCTCTGACAAGACCTCACTACATCAGGAACTCAAGGAATGCTCCACACTTTGTTTCTGGCCTTTGGCTACTGTTCTTTACTGGGAATCTTCTTCCCTGGAGTACCACCTTGGCTAACTCCTCCTCATCCTTCAGGCCATTTCCCCCATTTCCTTATCCAAGGCTGAGTCAGAGGCTCCTTAAGGTCACATAGGAGCATTCCACTTTCACTGCCTGTTTGGCTGCCTTGCCCATTAGACTATAGAAATTACAGTCTTGTTTTCCACTGTATTCCTAGTCCCTGGGATAAAGTAGGTACTCAAAAAATAACCTTTGGGTAAATTATATTCTTTCTTCTCACGCCTATCTAATTCCTGGCCTGCCCTGGGCTCAACAAATCATTGATGAAGCCATTTCCCCACCTTTCTTGCTGCTCTGTCACTGTTCTTTGTTGGGTCAGTAAATTTTTGTTTTTAGTTCCTGAGACAAAGTGCCTCGCACAGTCCACACCAGCCCCATAACCTGGTACACTCACAATCAGATGCGGTGGCAGAGCCTAGGTTGCTATATTCTTTTCATGACGCTTCCATACAAAGTCAGATTTCAATGTTACAGTCCCGTTTTTCATATTTCCTGAGTATTCCTAATAACAGAAGAGCTGGAAGTAATGATTCTTGTATTCTGTTCTGATTAGACACAGGAAAAGCTTTCAAAGGACACTTTAGCACTGGGAAATACTGTACAAAGCAAGCTCGACTCAAGACCTAGTATTTTATAACCTTTATGGAGTTTTGCTCCAAAGTAAACTCTTTTGACTAACAAACATAAAAATTTGACTTAAGTATTTACACTATTCACAGTATTCACAAATTACTTTATAGTGTGGACTCTCTGATGGCGCATAAGGACTGATCTGTGCTTGAATGCCTTCCCACATTCATTACATATATAAGCTTCGTCCCCAGAATGAATTCTCTGATGCTGAACAAGGGCTGAGCTCCTTTTGAAGGTTTTGCCACATTCATTACACTGATAAGGTTCCTCCCCACTATGAATTCTCTGATGTCTGATAAGGTTTGAGCTCAAACTGAAAGCTTTTCCACATTCATTACATTCATAGGGTTTCTCTCCACTATGTATTCTCTGATGAGTAATCAGCTCTGAGCTTTGCCTGAAAGCTTTTCCACATTCATTGCATTCATAGGGTCTCTCTCCTGTGTGAATTCGCTGATGTCTAATGAGTTTTGAGCTCTGGCTAAAGGTTTTCCCACACTCATTACACTCATAAGGTTTCTCACCAGTGTGAATTCTTTGATGTATAATGAGATATGAACTTTGACTGAATGCTTTGCCACACTCATTACATTTACAAGCCTTCTCACCAGTATGGATTTTCCGATGTCTAATGAGGGCTGAGCTCTGATTGAAAGCTTTCCCACATTCACTACATTCATATGCTTTCTCACCACTATGAATTCTCTGATGAATAATAAGATAGGACCTCAAACTAAAGGCTTTCCCACACTGGTTACATTTATAGGGCTTCTCTCCAGTATGGGTTCTCTGATGTTGTGTTAGAGAGGAATGCTGCTTGAAGCTGTGCCCACATACATCACATCTATAAGGTCTCTCTTCTGGAGGAACATTCTGACACATTATAGAGTCTGTAGTTAGAATCAAGCATCTTTCAGTCTCATCATAAAGCTCTCTCTTTCCTAGAGATTTGTTTGTGAAGATCCCTTGATTAAAACTGCCCCCTTGGGAAGAAGATCTTAGTTTCTCCCCTGTAGCACTTCCTTGCTTCCACACTAAATTGTTTTCATGCTCACTAATTCCTCGAAATGAAGGTTCCTGAGGGAGTCCCTGTGATTTTTCTTCTGAGATGCCCTTTGTTGCTGTTTCATTGTTCTCACAATCTGAAACAATAAGTAGCAAACAAACAGATATTACATTTCTCTAGTCACTGTCAACACTTTCTACATGAGAGAAAACAGAAGCTTCTACCTACAAAGATGTCACTGTCCTCTAGTATCTTTTTATTCCAACTGGCCAAAAGAGGGTCTCTCATATCTAATAAAGTCTACATCTACACTTTGAATTTCATCGTTTCCTGCCTCTTTTGAGACATCAATTGATAAATTACCTACAATTTTTTTCTACTATTTACAATCTCTTTCTCAACTGATTCCTGTTCATCAGCTTTTAAATAAGCTTAAGTGTTTCCTACCTTTTAAAATCAACCTTCTTGCCTACATATCTCCCTCAAGCAACCTCACTCTCTCTCATAGTGGTTTCACAACCTCACTCTCCCATAGTGGTTTCCTGAAAGAGTTGTCTGCAGCCTTTCAAGTGAAAGTATCCTCATTCCACAATCTGGTTTTTGCCTTACCATCCTCCCCTGCCCCCCAATGCCCCGTCCCCTACTTCCACTGATTCTACTCTCATCAAGGTCACTTCATAGCTCTTTAATCCAATGGGTACTTTCTAGATTATTATTCTACTCTCATCAGGGTCACTTCATAGCTCTTTAATCCAATGGGTACTTTCTAGATTATTACTTAGCCTCTCTGTAGCACTGACACTGAGGATCACACCTTCCTTCTAGAGACATTCTCTTCCAGTGATATTAGCCTGATTTCTGTGGCTGTTCCTTCTTAGATTCTAGGGTAAATCACTCAAACATGAGCATTCCTCCAGATTCTGTTTTGGACTGTCATGTATCCTTACTCTACAAAGCCTCTACCCTTGGCTTCCATTACAACTTATATTGTAAGCTATTGTCTGACTAATGCCTGCCCAGATCCCCAATTATATTCGTATTTTATTAAGCTCTAAAGTCTTATGCTAATTGGGCATTTTACTTTTGAATATTTTACAAGCACCAAATGTACCAACCTAAACAAATCATCAGATGTATTTGTTTTTCCTTATGTTTTCTCATTTACATGAACAGTACTACCATTAACCAGATTGTTCAAGACTGAACCTCAGTATCATCCTCAACTCCTCTCCCTCACACTCTAGTTTTAATAATTACCAGATGTTGCAAAGCAATTTAAATGCTGATGAAAAGGAGTCAGCTTTTATGTTCTCCACCGCTCACCATAAGACATATTGATTGAATACACTGTGGCCACTTGGATTATAGCAGTCTCTAATAGGACCATACTCTTGCTTTCCTCGCGTGATTCTCCATTTGCAGCTAACTTCTAAACTACAAATCAAACTATGTCACTCCCTGTCCAAAATCCTTCAACGGCACACCACTCCACTTAAGAAACTATACAAACAAATTAGCACGACATACAGGTCTTTACGACATACAGGTCTTTACGACCTGGATCCTATTTTCCTCTCTGGTTCTTCTCTTACCACCTGTCAATTCTCCATTCAAGTCAAATTCAACTACCTGCAATTTTCAGAATGGGTTGTATTCTCACACCTTCGGGATGGTATGGCCTTTACTTGGGCTACTCCTCCTCCCACCCATTTACCTGGCTTTCTCTTACTCATAGTTCAAGTCTTAGCTTAGATTTTCTTCCTTCAGGAAGAATTCCTTGATCCTCTAAGATTGGGTTAGGTGCCTTTAGATGTGCTCCAACAGTACCCAGTGCCTACTTTTATTCTATAATTTACTACATTGCAACTGCCTTTTTACTTGTCCATCACCCACCTAGACCTGAAACCTCTTTAAACCCAGGGCCTACCACAGTACCAGACATGTATTGACGCTTTATAAAATTACAACATAATGAAATGAGTGAATGAATAACAGGGAAACTGACACAGGAGGGCTCACAGCAATTCATGAGGGGTGAATACAAAGCCGCTAAAGTGAGCACCTCTGGTTTAGAATAATAAAGGTGATGCTCACATGTGGCGAGTTTATCAAGTGCAATTAATTCTGCATTCTCAAAAACAGAAACCTAAGTGTCAAGAGTTTCCAGATGATTTCCTATTCCTCACCACTTTTAGGGGAAAGGCACGATTTCCAGGATTTCAGCTGTGTCTTTAAGGGCTGGAGGTGGATGTTTGGTGACTCTTGGGATGCTCTGAGACATGTTAAATCCTTCCATGGCACTGCTGGTTCCTGTGGACTAGCTGGGACCTGAAATCAGGAAAATATGGTTAGCTTTGTGAGAAAATCCCTAGGAAAACTTGTTTAGTAAAAATCTCAAAGAAGTCAATGATGACATCTCCAGGGAGAAAAGAGCATTCAAGGGTATAGACAAGTATGACTCTACTAGTCACTTCAGGTTAGGCTTCAGTAGAGACATAAAAATTTTGATCCTACTGTTATGATACCATTACATGCTCCAGGCTGCAAATTCCTTTTCCCACAACACATCACTTTTCTCTGTTCCCACCTGCTGCCCTGGGTCATCAAACTCCCTCTCCAAATCCTCCAACAGGGTCACAGCTTCCTCGCCGCTTTTTGGATTATGTTGCTGAACCCAGATCTGCAGCTCCTCAGGCAGAATGCTCAGGAACTGCTCCAGTACCAGCAGTTCTAAGATCTGCTCCTTTGTGTGCAACTCTGGCATTAGCCACTGATAGCAAAGTTCTTGGAGTTGGCTCAGAGCCTCCCGGGGCCCAGGTGTCTCCTGGTAGCAAAACTTTCTGAACTGCTGACGAAACAATTCTTGGCAGGATTGAGCACTCCCATTCTGCTTAAATTTCTCATCCCAGGAAAAGTTATCTTCTACTTTCACTAGTATTAGTTCTTGTTCTGGAGGATCCTGAGGTATCAGGGTTGAAATCGCTACAGATTCCACAGCCATTCTTGGCTGAAACAGCTTAGCAAAAAGCTCAGTACAACTGGGTTCGGTGCTTGAGGAGGAGTGTGAGTAATCTCTTCTTTCCTGAAGGATATAAAAGCAGTTAACTTATAGCAATCAATAAAATCTTTAAGAACTTGTAATAATAAAAATGAGTAACTTTAGTAATATATTGAAAGGGAGCAGATTTGGGGCTATCACTAAATAAAACAATGAGATGATAAACTAAAAATCATTAACCTCAATCAGTGTCTCCCATTATGAAGAATTCCTACCACTAATGTTAGAAAAAACTATTTTAGAAGCCAAAGAATGTGTATGCAACATTAACATCAATCACATAGTGAGAAAATTTCCAATTCTCTTTTAATTCTGATTGTATCAAGGAGAAAAATCTATCTCTAACATGTATATATTAATAAAACTTGTAGAACTCTTTTAAATGAAATATAGGCTTCAGAATCAGACTTCCAAGGGTAAAAATATTTAGGCAGAATTTAGTAATACTGATTTTAAACGTTTATTTTTAGTTACTTTCTATCTAAAGTAAGTAATGTTGATTTTCATTTAAGGTAGTAATATATTTTTTTTAAGTTCACATTAAACATGAGTTGATGTAAATATTGGGTATTTGTCATTTGATCACATTTGGTGTTTACCAAATTACTTCAACAAACACTGAGGCACTTACTGAGCATTAGGTTAAGGTTTTTGCTTATGAATAAATGAGTCTACCGAGGAATTGACCAAGAACAAAGACGTATCTGTAAAATGCTTACCACGTGTTCAAAAACATGATAGGTACCACATACACAAAAGCAGCAAAAAGATCAGTATCAGTTCTGAAAAAGCCTAGAATATCCCAGGAGTAAAAATGTTCAAAAGCAAAATATGGTAACAAATAGTTATTGTATTAAATGTTGTGACACAGACCAAACGACCTGATTTTAGGATGGCGAGATATCGATAGGAGTGTATGCCCTTAGTTTGTCAGGACAGATGAGTAAAATTCATTCCTCACACTACTGTTAACGTTAGAGATTAATTAGCATATTTAGCCTACAAATTTAAGGTTTATTAACCAGTTAGGCTGCACTAACTAGCACTTCTATTTTTATATCCTTGGTTAAACCCGCAGCATTTGCCAAGTCACGGGGTCAGGGGAACTGCGTTTTCCTTTGGAAAGCAGGGTTTTGAGTGCTGGCCTCCTCTAAGTTCCCCACTCGCTTGGAGACGCCGCGCGGGCCAAGGGGCCGAGACCTGGGGATGGGCAGGCCGAGCAGCGGGGCTCCTCCACTGTCCGGCCCGCGCTCCTAACCCCACCTCCCCCTTCCTAGGGGCCCAAATCCCTCACCGCGAAGCCCAGGAGCGGCCAGGGAATGAGCCGCCGACCCAGAGCGGCAAGCCACAAAGACCGGAAGTGTGCGTACGCAGTGTTCCGCTCTCGTGCGCTCCGGGTTCCCCGCCGCTCCGCCCCTTGCTCTCAGGTAGCCAATCAGAGCCGCGGGGTCAACTGGTCCCACCGCCTTCTCCCGGCGGCCGCTAGCCCGGCGGAACCTCCAAGCCCAGGCGAGAGTGCGCTAGGAGTCGGGGTAATTGTGAGCGGCGGCACCCGGGGGCCCCGCAACCCGCCTGGGCCGTCGCCACCCTGGCTTTCTCCCGGCGCCACCCACGTTTGTTGGTGTCGAGTAATTCCCGAATCCTACTCCCAACTTTCCGTTAAAATATTCAGATTTTCGGCCGGGCGCGGTGGCTCACGCCTGTGATCCCAGCACTTCGGGAGGCCAAGGCGGGCGGATCACGAGGTCAGGAGATGGAGACCATCCTGGCTAACACGGTGAAACCCCATCTCTACTAAAAAATACAAAAAATTAGCCGCGCGTGCTGCTGAGCGCCTGTAGTCCCAGCTACTCGGGAGGCTGAGGCAGGAGAATGGAGTGAACCCGGGAGCCGGAGCTTGCAGTGAGGTGAGATATGCCGCTGCACTCCAGCCTGGACGACAGAGGGAGACTCCCGTCTCAAAAAAAAAAAAAAATAAATTAAGATTTTCCCGTGATTCCAGTTCTTTTCCGAGATCTCTGACAAAAGTAAACGCAAATAGGCTGAACAAAAACTAACAGTCACTTATATTGCTCTTGCCTATGAGTATCACTGGAGTCTTAAAACAGCTTTGTGCTGTGGCTATATAATCCCCAATTTACAGCCATAGACATTGTCCAAAGTCAGGCAACTTGTGACCAGGGACGCCCACGTCCCCATAGTTCAAGGAGACTGGTATCATAGACTCCAGGAGCCTATTTCAGGGTCTTCCCATTCTTCGGTGGAAGTTGGTATTAAGTCTTACTGTTTAAATTTTTTCTGTGGTTATTTAGTCGGCGAAAAATGATGCCTCATGTTTGAACTTTGTGAGCTTAAGATGGTCCCCCTTCATGTTTATTGACCATTTGTGGTTCTTCAGAGATGGCTTTTCCCATTTAAAAAATTAAGGGGGTAAGATTTTTCTTTTTTCTTTGTGAGAATTTTTTGCTTATTAAGGATAGCAACTCATTTGTTGCAAATTTTTTCCCATTTATTTGTATTTATTTTTAAAATGTTACATTTTACATGTTTAAATGTTACATATTTAAAATGTTATATTTTAAAAAGTACATAGGATAATAACAAAGGGATACATACATACATAGAAACAAATTCTCCTTTGTCAGCCGAGACTGTTAAAACACACGTATTTGAGAAAAAATGTTCGTTAGCATTCAAAGCTATTAGTGACTCACTAAATCTTTTTTTTTTTTTTTTTTTTTTTTTTTTGAGACGGAGTCTCGCTCATTGTGAAATGACTACAGCAATTTTACAAAGCAAAAAAACAAATAATATTAATTTGCTTATAAATTATCAATTGCTTCATAATGAACCACTTTGAGACTTAGTGACTAAAAACAGCAGATGTTTTATTGCTCACAGGTCTGTTGCCAGGAATTCAGGCAGGGCTTAGCAGAGATGTCTAGTCTCTGTGAGGTGTCAGCTATCTTCACTTAACTGGGGTGGAAGGTCCAAGATGGCTTAACTCACATTGCTGAAGTCTTGGTGCTGCCTCTTGGCTGAAGTTACTTGATTCTTCTCCACAAGGCCTCTCTCCATTCAGGAGTTTAGCCTAAGCTTTCTTACATGATGACTGGCTTCCAAAAGAGTGAAGGAGGAGGAAAGATGCTAATTCTCTTAAAGCCTGAGTCTGGAACTGGCATTATATTCTTCTGCAGTATTCCATGACGGAAGGACTAGAATGGTGGAAAAGGGAAATAGACATTACGCGGCTTGATCATGGGAGGAAATTTTGGCAGTTATCTTTGCATCTAACCTAACACACCTTGTTATATTGAGAAACCTACTACGTAACAGTGAAACTATTGAAAGAGAGAAGGCATATCAGTTGAAATGCTTTTGGCTGCAGTAACAGGAACCTTACTAGATGTCCTTATTGTTTAAGCCTTTTTAAAACAAATCCTAATAGCTAGATGCATGGAGATAAAATCATTCCCAGGGTTGGTTACTTCTGCATCTGGACAATATTGTCAAGGACACAGGTTTCTTCCTTCTTTTGGCTCTGCCATCTTTAAGTGTGTTGTTCTCCCGTCTGGCTTGCTTTATGGTCCTAAAATGATTCCCTCAGTTCCAGATTACAGACAATGTTCAGAGACCAAAAAGGGGAACACCTTTATCTTCTGCCCCTTTAAAAGATTAAGGAAACTCTTTTTCCCCGGCAGGTTTCTCTGTCCTGTGTTATTAACTGAAATTGCTTTGAGTGCTTATGTCTGTCACTGATAAGGGAGGTAAGGCCTCCATGGTGGGATTAGGACAATTGCAATTTATATCTTAGGGCTAAGGAGAAGGCCAGCCTCTCCTAAAGGACACAGACACTCAGGGGAGAATGCATGAAATTAGGGCTGTGTTAAAAAGGCAGAAAAGGGAGATAAATAGATGAATGTTGAGTTTGCAACAGTAATATCTGCTTTGATAGGTAATCTGATTCCCTTGTATAGGTAAGAAAGTGAGACACTGAGAAAAAATCCAGACTCCTGTCCTTCCTTATAAGATGTTACATATGTTTAAAATATAAAATATTAATAATTACTTACTTGCAAGAGTTGTAGACTAGAGATTGAGAGCTAATTTCTGGGACATAGTTTAAGTTCCCACTGAGATAGCAACTGATTACCCCGTAGGGCTGTAGGGCCTTAGGGCCTCCTTCGAGCCCCTTAACGGCCTTAGCCAACAATTTCCATGACTTATTTAACTTTCAGTGCTATCGATTATATCAGTGCCCTTGAAATCATTCCCTCCGTCTTCTCCCATCCCCAATCTCACACATATCCAGTTTGCTTTAATATGAAAATATTTGCTAAATTATTGAATCAAGGGTAGAGAAGTATAATTTTTGTTTTTCTCCTCCTTCAGATGTTCTTAATTTTTGTTTCTGTTTTTTTAATGATACATATGACAGGTGTGAAATAATGTCAGCTCCAGGCATTACCGTGATCAGTGAATAAGGTTGCTCATTCAGTGAAGTCCAACTGCTTGAATTATTGTATCATGCAACATCGGTCTACTTTATGGTATTTGTCAAGTGAGATAAGCCCATTGAAAGTCTCTTCACTGTAAACAACTATTCAATAATAAAGGATAGAGAAAATGGCTTCTGATGCACAAAGGAAAGGAATCATTTTCTTTTATTTTTATTTTTTATAGAAAAAAATTTTTTTTTCACAGAGATGAGGTCTCAATATATTGCCCAGGATGGTCTTAAACTCCTGGGCTCAAGTGATCCTCCCATCTCAGCTTCCCAAAGTGCTGGGATTACAGACATGAGACACTACACCTGGCCAAATCATTTTCTCATTCAGCAAATATTATGAAATATTGGTATATGTGAAACACAGAAGAAAAGTAGGGATTCAAATGAAGTAAAATATATGCCCTTTCACCTCACTCATCACTGTAATTCCTAGAGTATCAATTCCATGAGGGGAAGGGTTTTGTCTTCCATTGTTGTCTCTCCTGTACGGCCTAGCATTGTGTAGATATGTTGATGGATAAATGAATGAATATATAATACATATATACAAGACGAAGTATTGATGCAAAAACTAGTGAGAGTATTTGAAGCATTCAAAGAAATGGAGTATACATGTAGGAACATTTTTAATAATATGCTTGGACTATTTTAATATGAACCCAGGGTTTGTTTTTATCAGTTATGGTAAGATGACAGACACAGAGGCCATTGCCTTTACAAGAAGAGTTTTTTATACAATTCTAGAGGATAAGACGCATGGTTTGCCATGGGACCACTTGCAGGGAGAAGCAGGGAGAGTGAGAATGAGTGAGAAACGAACTGATGCTAAGCCTTTATTACTATAGTGGCGGTAAGTTGCAAAGTGGAGATGTGCGGGCAAGAAGCAAAACACACATATTGGGGCTAGTGGTTGGAGGGTTTGTAGTGAGATTTCTGAGGTCCTGAGAAAACACAGGGATGGTAGAGGTATAAACAACTTTGAGCCTCCAGCACTGGCCAGTGACTATAAGCTACCACATCATCAATTACAGGATATCAAGAATAGTCACTGTACTATTGTATTCTATGGCTCTTCCATGATGTCACTAATTTAGCAGTTGTATTTTTCAGAGACAGATAATAGGATGTATTAACAGAGCATGACAGTGCTTATTTGTAGTATCCAAAACAGTAAACAAAGGCCTTAGTTACTAAGTTGTTTCTGTTGGCTGCTAATGTCAAAGAAAGCCTTTGAGGTTTCTCCTGACATTTATTCTTGTGTTTATCAAGTATAGAAGAGTTAAAGCTTCAGGTAGGCTATTATTATTGTTTTACTTTTTGCAGGTTAACCACAGTGATAAATCATTTGACAGGGTCCCACCGCAGCTCTTAATTCTGTCAGTCACTTCAGAAAGATCTTCCACTGGGATTCTGTTCTGTCTTAGGGATAATTCAACAATGATACATGATACATTCTAAGAACTTAAAAAAAAAAAAAGGCAATGCCTAAATGCATGGAGTATGAGTAATAAAAAGAAAAATACATGTTCTCGTAGTTTTGTGGGTAGAAAACTTGAGCATTTGGAGAGAAAGCATTAAAAAAAAAGCTGTAGGAATTAAGTGATAAAAGACACTCACCTCATTTCATTATACCTATTATATGTGATAAGGTGGATATGTTTAAAAATCTAATCTGTGGATGTTTAAAAATCCAATCTGGTTGCCTTGAGCTTGTATTATTTGCCTAAATTCTTTTGTTGTAGCTATCATTATTAAAAGGAGAGTTAGATTTTAATTGAATTCTTGATAGACAATGAATTTATTGAATACTCATTGGGTTTCTGTTTGACATTGTCTAATAAGAAATTTATTTCTTTTAATCTTGCTTGGCAACATAGTGGTAAATGAATAACTAACTTATATATTCCCCCAAATTACCTTAAAGCCTCCTAAATGCCAAATATACTTTTATTTTTAAATATCTTTCAGGTGGTACAATATAATTTGCTTATCTTTCTGGATATGTGTAGCTTTTAAAAATTATTTTTATATATTATTTTATATATTATGTTTTTATGACTGGGATTATACTGCTGCATGTCATACTTTTCTTGTAAATGGCTACTTCTTATATTTAAAATATCCAGTTGAATACCTTCTTGTGAAACTTCCTTTATTTATGGTTTACCAGTTTGAAATTTGTAATCAAGTATACAGACAATAAATTGACTTTCATTACTGGTTTTGGAAATGATTATCCAAAGGGAACTTTTGGGGCTAGCACCTTGGGGAGGAAGGGGCAAGTGAGTATGGACAGAGTAATATAGTGTTTAAAAGGTCAGGTTCTGAAGAAAGCCTGGTTCAAATCTCTGCTCTCTTAATTCTTAGCTCTGTGACCTTGTACAAGTTTCTTAAACTCTGTATACCTCAGTTTCTTCTTCTGAAAAATAAGAATGATTATTGTGTCTACCTCATAACATTGTTGTAAGCATCAAGTGAGTCAATACATTCAGAACAGTGGTCAATAAATGTGTATTGTTATTTGTGGGAGGAGGTATTGAGTCAGTGGGGAGAATGTGGAGGCTAGAAGAAGGAATATTTCTGCAGGTTTGGATATGCCCAATGATAAGAACAATTTAGGGTAATTATTAAAAATAAACCTTTCTATGTCTTCAATCAGAACACCTGGGGGGAGGGTTCTATCTATTTTTTAGCAAATACCCCAGATGATTCTTAGTATCAGTTAGTTTAGGAAACTGTGATACGGTAGACAGAGTACAGGCTTTAGGGTCAGACAGATGTGGATGCTGATCCATCCATTAAACAATTATGTGTAAATGTCTACAGGTACCATTCTTTGGCTACAGCAGATACTAAATCTGATAAAAATATTTCTACGTTTATCCTTATAGACCTTATAGTATATATTGGGATTTCCACTCTAAGGCACCAACCAGGGCCTCATTGAGTGACTTTAATGGACTTATTTTTTATTTTTTTATTTTACAGACATAGTCTTACTCTGTCAATCTGCTCAATCCATCCTCCTGCCTCAACTCCTGAGTAGCTAGGATGACAGGTGCACATCTCCAAGCCTGGCTAATTTTTTTTTTTTTTTTTTTTTTTTGTAGAGATGGGGTCTCAACATGTTGCCCTGGCTGGTATCAAGCTTCTGGGGTCAGCAATCTGTCTGCCTCAGCCTCCCAAAGTGTTGGGATTACAGGTATGAGCCACCATGCCCAGCCCATATTTACCAGATTTGGAATACCAAAAAGTATTTGACAGTGATTTGAATTGGAGTTCAGTTTAATATAATTGCTGTCCTTATCTACTTCTAAGATCAAAACGGGAACAGAAACCCTGTTTTGTTTGTTTTTTAGTAAATGAATTAAAGAACACTAGTATTAAGATCAATGTAAGAGTGCTATTTAATTTAATACTGTGAAAAGTAAACATTAAAGATAAAATACGATTTTCTTGTAATCTTTTGAGTATTGCAGTTTTTATCCTTTGATTTGCAGATTCTGGATATATCTCCCACTGGCTATGGTGGTTTTCTCTTCTTTCTACTGTTGGTGCTCATGCATTAAGTACAGTATTTAAAAACATTAAAAACAAAAATGCATTTTGGACATTGCTGTCAAGGAAATGAGATGTTCATTCTAGTGGCATTTTAGACAGCTGAAGCTTACCTCTTCAAGAGCCAGAATTACCACATTTTGCACCTTCTAGTTATATTGTACATTTCCATCTCTTTACAGAGTATATTGAACACTCTTAGGGCTATAATTTACTCTCACACAAAGTATGATTTTTGGAAATTATGGAAGTATTGGAAGAAGGATACAAACTCACTTCTCATTTACTATTCAACCTGAGGCAATCCACTTTCCTGTTACCATTCCACTAAAGTTGAATCCTTGAACATAATGACTTCTCAATCCTTAGCCTTCCTGCATTTTAACATTTATCACTGTTAATAGCTTGTCCATTTTTCTAGATTCTAGGGCACTATTTCTCCTCTACCTCTCCATCCACACCTTTGCCCTACTGCTGCTGCCTCCTCCTTTCTGGTTATTTCCTTCTGAGGTCATCTTCAACACTCCTCTCTTCTCCATATGTATTCCTTCTCTGGCAGTGATTTCATTCTTCCACTTATGCATAAACTATCCCCAAATTTGTGTTTTTTTTTTTTTTTTTTAGACGGAGTCTTTCTCTGTCACCCCGGCTCGAGTGCAGTGGCCGGGGCTCTGCGCACTGCAAGCTCCGCCTCCTGGGTTCACGCCATTCTCCTGCCTCAGCCTCCTGGTTTGTTGGGGACTACGGGCCCCCGCCCCCTCGCCGGGCTATTTTTTTTTTTTTTGTATTTTTTAGTAGAGACGGAGTTTCACCGTGTTAGCCAGGATGGTCTCGATCTCCTGACCTCGTGATCCGCCCGTCTCGGCCTCCCAAAGTACTGGGATTACAGGCTTGAGCCACCGTGCCCGGCCTCCCCAAATTTGTACTTCCAACCCTGACTTGTCTACCAAGCTCTAAATCTTAATATCCAACTTGTGTGAGCATCTGTTCTGGACAATTCACCAATGTCTCAACATTCACACAGCCAAATCCAATTCGACTACCTTCCCCCATCTTAAATTTTATTATTAGTCATAAATTGTTATTATTACGAATTATTAAAATAGAATAATTATCTTACTTTCTTAACTTTCCTTTTTGCATCACACTAAGTAGAAATTTTAGGGCAGTGTAAGGAACCAGAAAAATTGGCCATTCTTTAACTGTGGCCCTATTGAAGCATCATTTGAAATAGCTCAAATTTATCTTCTTTTTCTTACTGCTGTTTCAATTCCGGTCTTTGCTGTCTTTCTTGTAATAGCTTTTTAGTCCTTGTCTCCTATCTCTCCTCTTATTCCAATGCATCTTTCAGATTGCTGCCAGAGTCTTAATATGAATTTGATTATGTAATCATGCTATTTTATAAATATTTGCTGCTTTGCCATGTCCACCAAATACAAGGTACATACCCTTGCCATACCATCCAACATATTCCTTCTTCTGACCCAAACCCATGTTCACCGCACATACTCAGGCACCAAAGGTGATGTGCCATTTATCTTATCCTATTCTGTCCAACTTCCTAGAATTTGCTCCAAATATTATTTACTTATTTATTTATTTGTTTATTTATTTATTTTGAGGCAGAGTCTCGCTCTGTCGCCCAGGCTGGAGTGCAGTGGCACGATCTTGGCTGACTGCAAGATTCGCCTCCCAGGTTCACGCCATTCTCCTGCCTCAGCCTCCCGAGTAGCTGTGACTACAGGCGCCCACCACCATGCCTGGCTAAGTTTTTTGTATTTTTTAGTGGAGACGGGGTTTCACCCTGTTAGCCAGGATGCTCTCGATCTCCTGACCTTGTGATCTGCCCACCTCAGCCTCCCAAAGTGCTGGGATTACAGCCGTGAGCCACCGCGCCGGGCCTATTATTTTTAATAATCTTTTTGCTTTTGGTTGAAATTTTCAGCATCCTTCAGGCCAGATTACATGATTTTCCTTGTGAAACCTTCCTCAGCTCCCTAGGAAGGGCTCTGTTATGATGTGCTCCTCTTGACTTATTTATTTATTTATTTGAGACAGGGTCTCACTATTACCCAGGCTGTGTGCAGTGGCATGATCTCTGCTTACTGCGATCTCCACCTCACCAACTCAAGCAATCATCCCACCTCAGCCTCCAGAGTAGCTGGGACTACAGATACGAGACACCACACCCAGCTAATAACTATATATATATAAAAGAAATGGGGTTTGCTGTGTTGCCCAGGCTGGTGTTGAACTCCTGGGCTCAAGGGATCCACCCATGTCCACCTCCCAGAGTGCTGGGATTACAGGTGTGAGCCACTTCTCCTCTTGACTTATTTATGTTAGTCTTCTCAGGACCTGGCAAAGCACTTTGAGCATAATGTTAATTTCTTTTTAAAAATTCAAATTACTCATATTTAGAAATTATCCTTAAAAGGAACTTTTCATTACCATTTAGTTCTTTATTTGTAAATTTCCTTTTTGGATTTCTTAGAAAACGAAAGTAGTATCATCATTGTCATAATCACTTTGACAAACATTTAACAAATGTCTACACTGTTTATATACAATTGAGGTACAGAAAAATTTAATAATTGGTTTAACACTCATCAACTGAGTGAACTGTATAATAGAACTAGAGTGATGTTTCCTGATTGTACTTCTCCAGTGCTGCGCTGCCATGAAGCCATCAGTGAGTACTAGCTGAGATTATGGGAGCCAGCCACATCTTCAGGTCTTCAAGTTTCATTTGAAGTACGAGGTCATAACCTGACTCCTACTTGACACATTTCTAAGCTTAGTGGCTAATATAATTTTAAACAAGTCTCAAGGAAATTACATGAAGTTAGACAAGTCTAGCCAATGTTTAAATAGCAACTGATTTCTCAGTATCCTAGGAAACTGCATCAAAAGTAGGGACTCAAAGACTCTTTAAATAGAGGGAATGTCAGGATCTCTTCAAGCTTCACAATCAAGGGTACTATTAATTAACAGTTTGTGTAGGTAAGCATGACAACATAGAGTAAAATTAAGAATATACACGAATGCCTTTTGCTAAAGAACAAATCTAGCCAAACTGAACAAAATAAAAAAGTAATTGTCTTTCTAATCTAACTTGCCTACAATTTTACCACAATTTTTACTACTGTATATTAGTCCATAAAAGGACCCCATACTAGTAACATCCTACAGTTATAGTAAAATATATGATATTGAATGTCAATCTATTTCATAGGATAAATTTTTCTGTTTTTATAGAATTTACTTGTACAAGGAATGAATACATTAATTAGCCTAAAAATCCTCACTAGTTCTTAGTTATTTGAGTGCATTACTATTAGTAGTATTTATGTTAATAATATATATAAGGGGTTAGTATTATAAACAGTAAAACATCACATATTCATCATATTTATTAGATTGAAAGGTCATTAAGTGTGCAAATAATAATTGTTCCAGGTTACTTAAGCATTTTTCAATATTTCATGTTCCCAAGATTCTTTTAGCTCTTTCTTCTCTCCTCTCTGGCTTGACAGGAAACTTGCTATTGTTACATTCACCTATTATTATGCATTAACAAGCAGGTGATAATTAGTGGTGATACTAAAACTAATTGTAAAATGGTTGAAACCATAAGATGACCTCTACTGCTTTAGAAGTAGTTTGACTGGAGACAGTAGAGTAAATAGATTTTTGTTTACCCTGCATTCCACAGTCCAAGAGTTCTGGCGGCAGTTCTGCGACTGTTTTTCGTCACAGACTGTTGCAGGATTCGACATTTCCCTAGAGCATGCTGCCCCCTGTTGGCCATTTAAAGCAGGGCACGTTCCGAAGGATCCTGGTGAAGCCTGCAGTGTAATTTCTCATTCCCAGTAACACATAATTTCTGAACATAGAAATTTGGATTTTAAATGTCTAAAGGCTTTATCAAACATTTTAATTGTAAATAAAAATTATATAACATCCCAAGGAACCAAATAATCTTGAATACTTTCTACAAAACACTTTAATACAAAGATGCTGTAAAAGAATAAATTTTATGGCCGGGTGTGGTGGCTCACTCCTGTCATCCCAGCACTTTGGTAGGCTGAGGCCAGCGGATCACCTGAGATCAGGAGTTCGAGACCAGCCTGGCTAACATAGTGATACCCCATTTTTACCAAAAATACAAAAAATTAGCTGGGCATGGTGGCGATCGCCTGTAATCCCAGCTACTCGAGAGGCTGAGACAGGAGAATCACTTGAACCTGGGAGACGGAGGTTGCACTGAGCTGAGATTGTGCCATTGCACTATAGCTTGGGCAACAAGAGCAAAACTCCGTCCAAACAAAAACAAAAAACAAACAAACAAATTTTATCATAGCTACTTTTGAGTTACATGAACAGGAGAAAGAAAATTAGCCCTGAAGAATTTGTTTACTAGAATTTTACAGTGAATCTCCTAAGGCTGAATTTCTCTTATACTTATTTAGTCTTATAAATTCAGTATCACTTATTGAGTGATGGTGTACGTGAAAACTAAATAACTTTGGCCTAAATGAAAATGTTGGGTATTTAAAATGTCATTAATGTACAAAATATTACTATGTCTTAATTTTTAAACAATTAAATATAAAAAAAAGTTTATTAAGTGTCAGAACCTAG